ATGACCCTTCTTCTCACTTGATTGATTACCTCAGTAAACATTGTAAACATGAGTTTATGGTCTCACTCTATAGTTTCAAGTCTTCTTCAATACAGCATGATGTTCATTCATGGTCCAGTTTAAAGTAAAATAGACCATAAAGCGGAGTATGCATTAGGGCGGGCTTACTGTGATTGACAGGTCGCTGCCGCTACCAGATCCGTATCCGGCGCATTCCAAATATTGTAACTTCCGTTTATCGGTTGCAAAAAACAACAACATTGCGACGGCTGTAATCCAATACGCCGAACTCGAGGCTTCATAACGGTACCCCACAAACCAATGGGTGACTGCTTCAACTTCATAACAACATACAGTCTATTGGCCACATTCTGTTAGTGTGTACGCAAATGTGTCCTGGGCCACATTGAAGGATCGCCTACTCCAAAAAGTACGGACTCATTCGTTGATTTTGTCCATGATGTTTAAAAATGTAAAAAAAAAAAAAGAGCCCATAGAGATTTATTACAAATGTGAATAGATCCAGTCTGAATTGTTTTGATTTCTATAGTGGCGTGGCTTCTTTATGAGGTGGGGCTATAGCTCTATGTGTTTTTGTATTTTTAAACATTATTATTTTTCGTGTCACAGAAACCAGTGAGGGTACATCTTGTGTTTTTTGTATCATCATTAAATGTAACTGAATTCGCAAATATGTAGGATTTCACTGCGGCTCTCTCCCGCCGGTTAAAAACAACAACGCATCTGGTGTCTGCAAATATAAATTATGTAGCCTACGTGATTATTTGCATATATAGCGGGGAAGTGAGATCTGATCACATGATCACTTTGGACGTATTCTAATGTCAGGTGTGAACTGACGTACTTAGAGCTGCCCGCTTGTGATTGGATCACCCAAGACACATATTAATGCCAGGTCTGAACAGGGCCCTTGTTGTTTGACCTGCCAGAGACTTGGCTTCCTTCTGGATCACTGAGCACTGAGACCAGCCCCCTGCTTGGTGATCAGGTCGTTGATGGCAGCTGGCTGGTCAGTTAGGCTTTGATGCTGCCGTCTCCTCCAGAGCCCTGGAGGATTTCCATACCTTCTTCATTCCAGTGGCTAATTGGATGAGTGTGTATAAATGAAGCCTATATGACAAAAAAGTGATTACGCCAATTTAAAGCACTTTACTTCTCCACGACCCAGCTCTGCCCTGGAAGTGTTGTCAACACTCGACAGCCTGCTGTAGGCGCTGTGCCTGGCTGCCTGTTGGTAATTATCCCTCTTTATTCCCGTGCCTCATCACCAGAAGTCGGCTGCCACAGGATGTTCCGAGAAACTGAGGAATCTGAATTTGTTTGCTCGTTGTGCCAGCATAACATCTGTGTGCTAACACGGTGGTTATTTGCTTAGCCACTCGTGCCCACAATAGAGGCACACAGTGGTACAGTTCCAGCACAAACATATTGGTATTATACTGCACACACAGTGGAAGCACAAAAACAAACATACATCCCACTGACACTGTCAGCACGCTATGAACAAGCACACCACTTATTAACATACATAATAAACACACATACCACAAACACCTGTTGCCATAGAGACAGATTAAATTAAGTGTCAATTCTGCAGCCACTTGTAATATATTGTACCCTTCAGTGGCCCAGAAAAACAGGTTCTCAACGGCTCTGAACATGTTAAGGGCAAGCCGATGGATCATAGCTAACAGTGCTAACAACGCTAACAGTGCAAACTATGCAAAAGTGCTGACAGAGCTAACAGTGTTTAGGGCGGAGGTTGGGTGCTACGCTTCCCCGACGACTACACTGTTGGTCAGGACGGGTGCATCGTCTGCTGTAACCGCCGTATGCGAGCAGTGTAGAGCGATTGCTATGAGCTAGCCAATGGGGCACGCTCACTTACATTAACATGCACTAAATGGGGCCGGCCCGGCTATGTCAACAAAACTCAGAGAAGCTCAGACACACACAGAGGGAGAGCGACTTCGTTCTCTGCGCAGGTACACATTACTCCACTATATCTTAACATAACAAATAGTTGTTTGCTGCTATATTAATGCTCTGTTAAATACAGCTCCTTTACATTGAGGTAGTATTAAGATGGAAGGATAAGTGAGAGTAAGATTGCAGGACAAGGGGATGCAGAGGGAGGATGGTCACAAACAAACTCACTGCTGCAGCACACATCACCTCCGCTGACAGCTGACATCATCTTCATCTAATCCTGCTGCATATTTGGGATGAAACTAATGTTTGGTCTTTGTGCATTGGTTGATTAAACGTGATCAGTGTTTACATTTTTGTAATCCTGCAGATTAATTTGTTAACAGGGTAATTGTCGTCTTCCTTTGTTTGCTTTGGAATTAATTCAGAAACTCACTTTTCTTGTTGACATTTTCAGTAATTAAATGGTTTTCATAAAATGTTCCAAAAAGTTTTTTATCTGATACAAAGAGCACACTTACAGTGCAACCAGGATGTATTAGGACAGGGGTGTGTTTCTCATTGTTTTGGTAAGTACGAGGTAATAGTAGTGACTTGCGGTTTTAGAGTAATATAGATTTTGGGAAGTGCATTTATTTGCTTACTTACCGAAAGTTAGAAGAGATGATACCACTCTCATGCCTGACTGGGGCAAAGTAAGGGATTTTGTAATCTGTAATTATAGTTTAAAAAAGGCATCAACACCAGCAACCCAGCACTCACTCTGCCACTTGAAATGTTTGGCTTTCAGAGCTCAGAGTCTGGTCCTTCCTCCCCCATAGCCTGCATCTATTCTACTTGCCAACCACTTAACAACATAGATCAATGCTGCAAGTGATTGACCCTTATTATAAGCCAATTTTCCTTTTGAACTAAAAAACAATCCAGTTTAGTCTCCTCTCTCTACCTCAGAGTAGCACACTAAAGCTCAGCCACATTTTCAGACACATGTCACACAAGGAGGAGACGCAACAAAGTGATGCCAACCAGTAGCACTGCATGACCGAGCTGTCTACACACAATCGGCTGTACAAGAACTTTGCGTCAAAAGAATATAGTCCACATTTTAAAACCATTAATTAACCGATTGAATAATAAGGAAACGAGATTCTGACCAGGCATTTGACCAGCATTCTGCTTTTGTATATTTGTCAGGCAGGCAGATACACATACTTTTGGTTAGCAGACATTGTTAAATTGCGAGGTAAACACAACCATCCTATTGTGGGCTGGTGTACTGAGAACAACCACACATCAACACTGCAGGTCCTCTGAACAAGAGAAGGATGCTGCATCTGTCAATATGGTGGTTTAATAGACGACATACATTATCAGGAAGGACTGGACGACCACTTCATCAGTGGCAACATTTGGTCAAGTTCTGTCAGAGACTTTTTCACGTTGTTTTATTTTGAAATGCCTGGTCATAATGCCCTTTAGTGCGTTTTTATGTTATGCATGTATGTTTGAGAGAGTAAATGTTAAGTCGTCACTCACTGGACTCGAATCAACAAACCTTTACAAACAGGTGACGACACAAAAGAGACACTGAGAAAAAAACAGCCTCTTTTTATTGTTGTATGGTGTGAACATAACAACCTGTTGTTTTGTTGATAGCACTGAAATGAAAAGCTGAACAATATTTTTAAAAAAGCCATAATCTTACCAAAACATTAAGGTGTGATGTTTACCAGCATACAACTAGGCAAAAATAAAAAAGACCCTTTTCCTTCTTAGTTCTCTAAAAATACTAACAGGGCTTTATTACTGTTAACAAACAATTGACATACAATGTAGGATCAATAACAGGACTGACGTTAACAAATAAAACATTTTAAACAGACATTTCAGTATGATAACGTTGGCAGAGGAAAAGTAATGACTTCTCATCATGAAATACGATTCAAGGCTTTCATTTAAGAAATGAAACATCACATCTGAACACTTAATTACGGAGCAGTGACACGCAGATAAAAAGGATGTGTGTCACTGATGAATTTAAATGAATTTGAATTTAAATGAGCTCCCGGTCTGATGATTCAAATCTCACTTTAACAAATGGCTTCCACTGAACAGCCATTACTTTGTCGTACTGTCAACTTCTGTTGTTTTTATAATGAAGGTAGTTTTTTATCATGGCACAATGGATCTGAAAAGAAAATTCTGTTTCATTTATTTCCCTCCCTCCCACAAGACATGGCTGCTAATGATGCTACATGGCTGCTAATGATGCTACATCAGATAAGAAACATTATTGTCCACTTAATTCACTTCACAGACGATATTAAAGTCCAGGTACATTATTCACCCTGTTGTGAGCGTTTGAAGGTGCCGGGGAATTGAGCCCAACATACTGGACCAACTCAAAACAACAAATCTAATGTTTGCAATTATGTTCTGACTTTTTGCTAGACTTCTAATGTACAACCACAAATAACTTCACAGCAATATATTTCTGAGAAAGTCCCACATGTAACCACGTCTATTTAGCAAACAGGCAATACAAAATCACAACATTTTTGATTTTATACAGAAAATGGAATTGAACACTCCAATGATGAACCAGTTTGTGATGTGTTACTCTCTTGAAACTGCTAACTTGTCAAAAGAAAATTACTGAATTATTTTGAGTGTTGCTTGCATTAAAGCCTTCATGATATTGCAATACTGATATGAAAATCCTACATTTATCCTTCATTTTACAAAAATGATTTGAGTAGAATTTTTTTCTGTGATATGTTTTGTTCCTTTGGATCGAATGAGTGCAGAATATGTTTTGTTATCTTTGTATTTAATTACCTTAAATGCAGAAAGCACCTTTCAATAAGCAACCCAGTACAACATCACAGAACGTGATCAGACATTTTGGAAAATACGCTGACTTTCTTTCTTTCCGAGGAACACAACTCTCATATCTGTCCGTTAAGTATAAGGGTTGCGCCAGGAGGTGATTAGCTTAGCTTAGCATAAAGACTGAAAACAGGGTGAAACAGCTAGCCTGGCTCTTCTAAAGATAACAAAATCCACCTACCAGCACCTCTGGATCTCACTAATTAACAAGTTACATCTTGTTTGTTTGTGTTGTTCAAAAACCCAGGTGTAACCACAATACATTGTGGTTGTACCCTAACAGCACTACCTGCCTGATATCAGACAGATTGGGGTTTGAATTTCCCTAACCAATCACCAAACCACGATGGTCAACGATCGGTTGCTTTTTGATCGAGTAACTGCTGTTTCATGTCATGATGCCGGACGAAGCAGTCAACTGGCATGGGCAGATTCAACGGTCTGGACCTGGACAACTGACAACCTGGGGTCTTGTCTACACTTTGTGGTTGACAGGCAACCAGCGGAGACTGTTAAACTGACTGAAGTTACTCCAGAGCTAGCTCGTAAAAACCCAGCGATGTATTAAGAGAGCTATTTTTGTCCCGGTGGCCACTCCTGGTATTGCAACAAAACAAATCCTTTTAGGCCCAAAAAGCTTTTTACACATAAACTAACTCTCGGCAAGAATGTGAAAAAGTGTATTTGCCAAAAGGCCAGACTCCATCTTTAAAACGTAGCGTCTAGTTAAGCTAAGATCTCTCTGATTTTTGCATGGGTTATATTGTGAGGTGTTTCTGTTATTTTGTCTACCAATTGTATCTCTCTGGTTGATTTTGAACAAATCCAACTTTCAGATCCCCCCCGACTGTTAGCATACCCGACCATCACCGCCCCGTGCTTCGTCTTGATCAGACCCAGGCGTGGACCCTGCCCGCCCAGTCCAGCAGCCGCCCTCGGTACCAGGCGCGTGTGATCGGCTGAATGAGCAGCAGGAGTCGAAACCGTCGGAGCAGCCCGCAGAAGATGGCGGCGGCTACCACCACCAGGGGCGACATCATCACGAAACCAAGAATGATGAGGGCGGAGCAGCTGTTATCGTCAAGGTAACGACAGATGGCAGAGGGGGCGTCGAGGACCTACGAGGACAAACACAGAGGGAGATCATAAAGTAGACAGGAGGGCTCAGGGGGGCATGATCAACATTTTAGCATCACCAGGAGCTCCTTCTCTACTGTCAAAAAGCAAATAGGTAGGATTTGATAATCGTGTATGTGCACGTGCATGTGCGTGTGTTTGCATATGCTCAGGGTGCAGAAGTGGGACAGTGTGGGTAGTGGGCTGTGACAGAGTTTCTCCCAGCCTCCCTCCACAGTTCAGATTAGGAGTGTCTCATAGCTGTGTGTAACCCTCCGAGCTGTCAATCACCTTGTGAGGGCGAGCGAGAGGAAGGATGGGCCCGAGAGAAAGCGATGGAAACTAAAGTAAGACGTAAAAAGGGCAGCTGCAGAAGTACACACTTGCATCCTTACAAGAACATTACACCAGAGTAATACACGCACACGACACATAAAGTACAAGTACATTATCTCAGACGCACTCAGAGAATTATTTGATTACGTCTGAAGCCCTTTTCTAAACGATCTCCTATTGTAAGCTTTTTCAAAAGGAGCTTCGCCCTCAACAAACGCCCCCTAGCAACAGCAGTGTTCAACACACACACACACACACACACAGAGACACACGTCTGTCAAGTGCACACTAAGCTTTCACTGCGTACATATTCCTCCTTGTCGTGCTGTCAGTGTGTCTGTGCACAGCTGGTGCTGGCACCAAATCAGACAGTCTTGTCTTCTCAGTGGGGCCCTCTCTCCGTGTTCAGTCTGTCGCCACTGACTGACATTGTCTGTAATTGTTTGCTCTGAACTGACATTTGCTCTGGCCTAATCTGATGGTAGTCTTGTTGCATGCGCATGCTTTGCAAGTTCTTAATTTGTCCGCTCTGTCATACGTCTGTGCCTTCAGAAACTAAATCATTCAACAGGCAACCGCTGGACCGCAGGACCAACTGTATCAAAGATCGTCTGTGATGTTGTGACCTGTCCAGCAAACCAAAGTCAGAGCTGTAGATCTTCTTGGCATGATGACTCACCATATTCTACTGATGATCTGTCTGCTCTTCATGTGACTCACAAAAAAACAGCCTCACCCTTCTCCTCACCTCATTACAAGAAGCACTGACAGGCTCCAGCATTCAAGTTAATTTTAATTTTTTTGGAAGAGCTTGTTGACAATAAAAAAACAACACGTACAAACATGAAGAATAGGACTGAACACCTGTGTGCAGATGGTGCCAACATATTACTAGTGCAACCAAAAAGACTTTCCTTAAGGCTTTGATTGTATGTTTTTCTCTAAGACTCCAGGTCTTAATGAGAGTAAATGACATGGGATTACTTGCCTAAACTTCCAGTAAAGTCAAAGGACACAGACTGCAAATTCCTCCTTGTTAATGATTTGTCAATATACCGTCATGTTGGCACAGAGCGCTATCCTTTTAAAGCTTTGCTAAATATTTTTCTAGCCACTTGGAGGCAGCAGAGACCAGCTGTAAACACAACGCTGAACATATCACATTTTAAGTTGTCGAACTTGTTAGCAAACAGTATCTTATTTACACAGCCTGCAGTTATGGAGCAACGTTATCATTCATTATCCACATGATGCGATACTCGCTCTGCTTTTAGCTCTGCTTTGCTCTCCATCACCTTCTGAGAAAAACATCTGTCTCTTTAGCTGATTAATGCTCCGTCGTGTTCCCCAGCTAGTCGTTAACTGTGTCTGTCCGTCATTTACAAACAGTGGGTTTTGTTTTTTGCTTAATACAGCAGCTTGCTGATGCTGGAAACACTAAATTGGACTAAATTGGATAATGACTATAGCAGTTTTAATTATCCTCAAGATGTGCACCAAAGTTCCCACTTTCAGGAACTGCAAGAAAAATCCATGATGTCATAGAAATTTAAAACAATTTAAAGTTATGAGTTTAACAACTTGTCACCTGGATTCCCCAATTACAGATTATTTTCTTTTTTTTATAATTATTTTGTGCCTTTTTGCCTTTATTTTGGCAGATGAAATTTGAGATAGACATGAAACACGTGGAATAAGGTAAGGGGTGAAATGCAAGAGGTCACAACCTGGAATCTAATCAGGGATGTTGCAGTTAAAAGATATGCGTCTAGTTTCTTCGACCAATACCTGGACATTTACAAGGCTTTTAAGAACAATGCACGGTGATTAGTTGTTCCGGACTTGCCATGGGCAACCAAATCTAAATTTGTGAGGATTAATGGTTAATACGCAGTGAAGTGTGGTGGAGAGAATCAATGCAGTAAATATCTGGCAAGAATTGTACAACTACAGGAAACCAAGTATTGTTGTTTTTCAAGATTATTAACATTGTTATGCCTTAAGTCTTGTTCCAAATACCTGCAGCAGTAATTAGATCCACACACTGTTTATACAGAAACAGGGATTCCAGTTTGTTCTGTTTACATACAAAATGTATTGGTTTTAATATGTATGATAGCAGATTGTTGACTCTGTAGTCTACTTGACAATCACATTTGCTGCAAAAAGAGTGGAAACTATCTGATTATAAAACAGACAAAAATTTAAAAAAGTGTTTGTGAACATAATTTGTGGCGAAAAGGGGCACCACACAGATATCCCAAATTTGTATCCTATTATTTTTTGCATTGCGAAAGTATTGAGCCATTCCTGCCACTATAACAGAATGCCATGCCTACTATTAATATGTGGACCTTGTATCCTCTGACTGATCATCCAGATGCAGGATTAGCTCAGAAGCAACTTTAGAACTTGCATTTTGTAGCTCAAGTCACACTCAAGGGGTCTAGAATAACAGTAAACTTTTCCTCTCAGCTTGTGCTTGCTGCAAAGAGAATAAACAACAGGGTAATATCTCACCCTGGAGTGGCACAGGAAACCGGCGTACAGCAGCAGCATTGCAGGCAGCAGCACCACAGAGAAGACCAGCGCCAGCAGCAAAGCACTGGCTAAGATGACACACAGGTCCCAGAGGAGGAGCGCTGCCCCGCAGGCCAGGCAGCCAAACCTGCCCCTGCGGCTGCCCCACGCACTGCCCCCACTGTGGGCCACAGGAGGGGGCAGAATCTTCACTTCCTCCCCGATCCAGAACTCCTCCTCTTTCTCCTCCTCGCCTGAACCGCCATTGTCCAAGTCCACGTCCATACCACACATCCTGAGCCAGAAGAGAGACAGACAAAGAGAGAGTGGACTCTGTTAAAAGCAGGCTGAGGGTGAATTGTTCTGATTCCGACTGCAGGGTGGTTACAGGCAGTTACTGATACATCCCTTGACTTATCAATGTTTAAATTTAATGAATGTAAAAGAGATCTAACATAAGAGATTATACTTGCAAAACATTACTGTACTCATCTAAATTGTTATATTATGAAAATCTATATTACATGGGAAAAGAGGTCTTTAAACATATTTGCAAGATAAATAAATCCATGTCTTGTCACTTTTTTCATGTTGAATCACACACAAAACACGTTAATTATTTAATATAAGCTAATCTAATTGTTGCATATACATGCTGAATTTAAAAACCTTGTAGACTGAGGCCTGTCCTCCCACCGCCCTCTTCTTTATTCAATCCAAGCAGCTAATAACTCATTATGTAAATGAAAATACTTTACACACACACACACACACACACACACACACACACACACACACACACACACACTTTTCTCTTATGTCTTCCCATCGCTCCTCCGGTCGATCTCATCGATCAGGGCTTTGTCACTAAATCCCGGCCTGTATGCCAATACGGTGCATTTTAAGATAATGCAGCCCTGAGCCTTATCGGCTAACCCTGAACGACCTGCTGCTGAGCTGAAGACAACCAGGAGCATCACACCGGACGGGACAAATGTCCTGCTCCTCTCAGAGCAGTTTGAGCACACCTTCATCATGCTGCTTCAGATGGTCCTTTACCTTGATGGATACATTACTGTAGCTATAGTTTCTGTTTGTATTTTTGTTTAGACTTGGTTGCTCTGTGTAGTCTGTAAACTGTTAAACCCTGATGTCACAAGCATTAATGTATAGAGTCGCTACATGTATCCTATGATGAACAACACGTTATAAATTAATGAGAATATTGTTGCCTACCTCCAAGTACAGATCCCGGTAATCCCTCCGGTGTGTTTGTGTTTGAGTTCTTCTCCCGGTAATCCAGACAGAGCTCCTAATTTTACCTCAAAATAAAATAAATACTTGTGTATATACTTGTATCAACAGCAGCGGAGGAGAGCGCCTGTGAGTTGAACCCTGTGCTGCTGTGGTGAATCTGTTTGAGGAGCCTCTGCGCGTCTGTGAGGGCGAGCGACTCCGGGCCGCGCGCACTATCGTTCAGCGCGCGCCCACGCGGTCTCGCAACAATATGAAATTGCAATATTTTTGTTTCGAACATTTCAACACGACACTCGTGAACGCATCTCTACGGGTAGTGCCACACGAACGTGTGGAACGGACCCAAGAAACACAAAGGGCTGGGCTGGGCTTATCAAGGATAGTTCTACATCATTGCTGAACATTTTCTGTCTACATAACCCTTAATAATGGGGATAGGCTACACGTTTCAGATAACGGCTGTATTTAGGTCACTAATGGTTTTTAGTCACATGCATCACTAAGAGCAACTTTGAGGTTGCCAGGTTGTGGAAAATCTTCCATTATGATACATATTGAAATCAATTTATCAACTTATTAGCCTACTGTAGACTTGGTGGATTGTTGTAAAACCCCGTGGGGTTAATTACTAACACTTGTGCATTTAATGTAAACTTGATGACTTATTAACAAAATAAGACATTTGTACTCATTTATGGATTACCAACACTTCTAAAAGCATTGTTATCAAATAGAAAGGATAAACACTAACCAAAGAAAGTGATTTTTTACAACCTGGCAACCAAGTCGTTGTTCTTATTAATGGCTTATAACTGATATATATTATAACTATAAATGATACTATGCACTAAATTGTTGTAAAATGTCCTAAAAGACAAATCTGGACTACATTATGAGATCACAGTTGAACATTGTATTAAGTTATTCTTCAACAATAAGCCAATTCTATAGAGGCATTGTTGGTAGTATGTTGTGTTTGTCTGTTTAAACAATAATTAAAATAGGCCGTACTAAATTATTACAAAGACTGCTTGGATCTGTTCATGTTGTTATCGGTCCAATATAGTGACATAAGTGTATTCAAGTTTAGCATATAATCAGATAACATCCGGGTATCATAGAGGTCACACATACTCTAAATAGTGCTAAAATAAATCCCCCAAAACTGTATCAGAAAACATGTATTGTAAGATAAGAAATGAGGAGTTTATAGCAGGTGAAAGACGATAAGCATCAAGGCCTGCAGTGTGCAAGAGAACAGAACAAGTACATGTTTTAAGCAGGAAAATAAGTAAGTCAAAGCTTGATAAACAAGCCAATACATCACAATAAGCTGAGATATGTTTAGAAATGTTCCTCTGACTTTTTCCCTCTGCAGTCTGCTTTTCACCAATCTTCAGTGCATCAGATGTGTGGTCAGGAGATAAGCAGTGATCGATTTGTTTTGCAGGACAGACAGACAGTCAACCTTTCGCTGTTCAAATTTAATTACAAGGAACGAGGGAAAAAAGACGAGATGATATGGGACGGAGCTGACGAGAACTGGATGAATAGATACTGTCTGGGGAAGTAGAGATATGAGGGAATGATTGATGAAGGAGAGGAGAGATGCTGCAGAGTGTCTGATGAAGGAGAGGAGAGATGCTGCAGAGAGTCTATGGGTGAGATGTTGTGGCTCAGTGTGTTTAGTGTCTGGCTCTATAGTGGGAAATGTAAGTAAAGAGGCTTACAGTAAATATAATCTTTCTAGACTCCACCTGTAACATCTGCTGACATCTGCTGGACTCTCTGTGAACTTTTCAAACTAAACATTGCACAGATTTATTTAATCATTTGGCAACCACTTCAAACAATGTTCCTCCTGTAACACTCTCCGTACGAGGTCACTCACCGTTCATTTACTGAACAGCATCCTGCAGGTTGCCATGGTGATTCATCTTCAATCATTACTTCAATTCATCATCTGTCTGTCTATCTGTCTGTCTATCGATCTATCTATATCTATCTATCTATCTATCTAACTAACTCTAACCCTATTATTAGAAACTTAATGTTAAATTGTATGCTTGTCTGTAGACAAATTCAGTTCAGCTGACCTGCTGTTCACTGATTAAAATACTCTCTATTATCATTAGTGATTAACTAGTTAAATTTAGATTAAATGCACGAATTGAAAGTGTAGTTGAAAGTTGACCACTGTTTCTAGTTTCCTTAAAGTTTGTATTAAATTACATATATCTCTCCAGAAAACTTTAAGGAGGTTTTGGGAGGAATGAAACAGAAATGACAGACCTGTAACATAATTGTTTCCTCGTGTTATATCGTTATCTTAACTTTATAGCAAAAAAGAAAAAATGCATATATTTATGCATTGATGCATTGATTCAATTCAATTCATGCCAATTATTATTCCATTTTGAACCTCAATTAAGAGAACTCTGTAGGGTACTTTTTCCATTGTGAATCAACATACTTCAAAGAATAGATTCACATTTTTTTCAAATGCCCATATGTACATTATGAGTTATTGGCTGTTGTTTCTCTCCATACTTACTGTGAAGAGATGCCTTAGTAACATGACTACAATGGACAGAGGGCACAAAGTCAACGGTTTGAGTTACATCAAGTGGATATCGTCCAAGGTCTTTTGAGTAAGAGATTCCCTCTTTGTGTTACTATCTTTCTGCAGCAGCTCGGCAAGTAGACGCTGTCTGTTGGAATACAAAGACTGTAACCTGATATTAGCTTTAGCCGGACTTTTAAAGGCATTTTTGCACAGTGTGAGGACAGTGGGTTTCCCCCCCCCATCTCTTACTTTGCAGACACGCTGAGAATAAATAAAAAAAACTCCTTTATGGGCATGTGAGCATTGCTTTAAGACAGAGTTGAAAAAATGCCATCCTTTAAATTCTGCATTATTCTTAAAGTACAAAAATCATGAATAACATGGATAAACAAGGGAAAGTATGTGTAAAACTTTCTCTGTGGCTTTTCCATCACCGCATCTCATTAAACTGTCTGGCACACTGAGATCATATTCAGGCCAATGAAGCAGGCAGGGTCTCTTCCCATCATGCACCTCTTCTGTGCTCCAGTAAGCGGAACCAACATCTATTAAATGTTTGTCGACGGCGGTGGTTTTGTTGATCAAAGAAAATAACACCATGTGCCGTGGCCAAAAATTCAAACAGCCGCAGGATGATAAAGAAAACTTCTTCAGTTTTAGAGACAGTGAAAGAAAGATGTGGGTGTTTCTTTGGTTCAACACAAAAACACTTTCTCCAACTCCATTTCTTGTGATGCTCACTGTGACACAAGAGGAGAGCATTAACTGGCACTATGAATAAAACAACTAAAACAAACGGGCAGTTATTACAACAATAGAATTTATTGCATTAAAGCGGATAAAAAAGTAATGAGACTACAGATTACAGATTAACAGACATGTCATGTCTGGATGCACACATTTGCATGTTTAGTCAGAAAAAAACAAAAAGAATGCATAGCCTGGTGTGTTTGTACGAGTTTATATACAATAGAGTGTAATCTGATTGCATGACTTTGTGAGAGAGAGAGTTAGTGAGTGTGTGTGTGTGTGTGTGTGTGTGTGTGTGTGTGTGTGTGTGTGTGCCTTAAGAGAAACTTTTTGACTGAACTGAAGCCATATTTTCAAAGTGCCTTTACAATACTACAGATTGGTACAAAGGATGCAGTGTGGAGGAGAGAGGTCGTGAAAGACGAGCAACAAAAAGTCGTACCTATCCTCCATCAGATGTGTGTGGTAGTGTGTGATGGTCTGTGTGTGGGTGAGCATGCTTTTTAGAGTGTGTGTCTGAAGGGGGCAGAGGGTGAGACTGAGCACCGCTGCGGGTGTCAGACGGAGCGTCCAGGACGTTGTCGGCTGAATACAGCTGCATCACCGCCCCCTCCTGGCCACCTTCTTTACTGCAGGACTGGCAGCTACAGTGGAAGATTCTCTCAACCAGCTTATCCACATGAGGAGACTCTTCACTGCCCGGGCACTCCAGAGTCACCTGTTCACACACACACACATACATGCAATTAATTAAATACAAATACATATATGCATAAAGAGAGAGAGCGAGAGAGAGAGAGAGAGAGAGTTGAGTGTTGTGTTTATTTATGTCTAGAGGTACAAAGTCAATGGCTGCTGCATTTCTGCTGGTTTGTCAAACCCTATGTACTCTCAGCAACCTAACAAACAGGAACTGAACTTTATATTTGACCTTGTTCTTAAATCTTCCACTTTATAACAAAGTGGTCTGAAATCCTCCACTTTTTAATACACTGATAAAATAAGATAATCCTTTATTAGAAATCTACTATTATATTATAAATAAGTAATACAGGTGGTATAGATATATTTATAGTTTTAATACTTTCTAAATACATTTCTTATCGCTTTTCTATCTTTGACTATTGATTGAGGCTAGATAGATTGATACTCCGGTAGACAATGATGATCGATAGTCATCGTATTAAATTCCTTCAGGATAAGTTGAGGTAAGTCACAATGCGAACAATACTTTCCTTCCTGCCCTACAAAATAGTTTTAAAACTAATTTAAAACAATAAAGGCAATTTAAAACAATAAAGGCATTATGTTGTTTAAAATTAAATAAAATAATATTCTGAACAAAAACACATAAATTGAATTTGTAGCTATAAGAGTTGAGGGTGTATGATGCTTTTGTTGTTATCATATGCATTTCTAATGTATTACTACTTTGTAAAGGCATAAAATGAGTAAGCAACACTGACACGAAACTACTGTGAACATTTAAGGTGAGGGAATTTTCTTGGGTTATTTTTCCATTTGTACTTCTTTTATTTATTCTTTCTTGGTGTACATATTTATGTACTTGTATTAATTGAGGTATTCTATTTTGTTATGTTACTACCTTTCCTTCTAAGGAAATCTGATATTTACAGTATGTGCATACTGCTACTGTATATGTGAATGGATGATGTGTGTGTGTTTTTGGTTAAATTCTTACTCCTTAGTGCTGCGTTTTTTGCTTTGTTAAAGGGTTTTGTATTTTCATGCAAAGAAAATGATCGCGCCATGGAATAAATATAAAATGAACAGAAAATATACGAGCACCTTGTAAACCTCAATTTTGCACAAGTTCTTCTATCGCTCTCAAGACATCACACAACTTCCTCTCACGGTTTCCATTATCCATTGAAAATGCTAATTCAGCAGTTTTATCAAGATCTACCACCAAGTGCCAAACCAGCACGGAGCAGTCTCGTCTTTCATGAGAGCTGAATTTGTTTTGTCTCAAACTGAATTTAGTTTAAAGCCCTGCAACATCAATCATAACCACAGACAAAAACATCCATTTCCAGATAGTTGGAAGTAATCTGAGATTGTGAACACACTTTCTCTGGATTTTCTCAAGCAACAAAAATAGTATGAAAATGAATTAATCTATCAGGTAACAGCAGTGCACTCCAAGAGATACAATATTTTCCACTGAAACATGAGGCGACCCCACCTGAAGTCCCACCCGCCTAGCCTACCTGGCAGCTTTCCAAACTACACCTCCCTACAAAGCCTTTGTTGTCGAAAGACTGGATTCATTCTGGCTAACACGGACAATGAACTTTTGAGGAAAATAAAATACAGGATTAAGGGTCATAGGTAACCCATAGAGGGAACGGCAGAAATTGTGGCACAAATTTATTAGAACTTCTCTATTTCTTCTTTTTTCTTCTGCTTTGTGTTAGCCAGCGAACAGGGATTCTTTCATGTTTGAAACCTGTGGTTTTGTGTGCGAGTTTGAAAAGTCTGTGTTGGTGTGTGCTCGCTATGAGCTAATGTGCCATAAATCTTACCACTTCCCACTGTGTCTGGGCAGGCATGCAGGAGTCACAGTGCACCAGGGACTCGGTTGACTGTGGGAACGTGTTGGGGACGCTGTAACTGAAACACTGACCCAGACACGCTCTGTGAGGAGGACAGAGTGCATTAGTGCATGATTCATATGTAGCCAGAGCGTTCACGCCTGTGAAAGCAAGAGCTGTGGATGTCTGGTAGCCTCAGGCCAAACACAAAATCACAAAATGGAGACTTGTCATTCACAAATGTAAAGTGAATCACTAGGAAACTTCTCCTTATAAGACGAGAGTGTGTCCTTTCCCAAATAATATTTTGTTGAACATAAAAAGTAGTGTGCAAAACATGTACATGTCACTGTGGGGACTGCAGCTTAAGGAGGAATACGTATAAATATTTCCTGAGTCGTTGTTGCTAGAATAACTAAAGAACTGTTACGAGTAACTCAAAGGCGGTATAGAAATGACTTGTAAGGGTCACAATGTTACATTTGCATGTTTTGTCCACTGACTACAGATCAAGCACACAGAAAAAAAGGATAAGTCTAGTGGTATTCTATTTGTCAACAAATGCCATTAAAAGAACAAAGCAACAAATTGATCCTTGTAACAAGTGTTTTCAGTGTCGCCATTGCATGACATAGCGTATTACTCCATTAAACAAAACCACATCACTGAGCCACATTGTTGCACTGGATGACATGTTCCGTCGTTAACATGAACATGAGCCTGCTGCACTAGAGCAACAAATCATTGGCTGAAAATAGTCCCTAAATAAATGCAGTACTTCTGTAATCCTGTTTTAGTAATGTTTGCTAAAAGGTACAGTGCTCAGCTGTTTTAGTTTAGTTCTTTTATTTAGCCTTTTTGTTTTTTACATGAAGGAACACATTCATGACCCGTTTCTTAGGATTTATGTCCTCAGTGGGAACCGATGGGCTTTGTTGGTTTTGGTCTTTTTCATTCGGATTTGTTGACAATAAGAAACATATTAATATCACCAGTGTTCGGCTTTAATATCAATGTTTGCAGTTTCCTAAACAATCTTAGATCATTTTTTTAGGTCGTTTTTCCAACTGATTCACATTTATTTCAAGTACAGAAATCAACATGCAGAATTGAAACTTGCCCGACATAGTGAAGTGAAAGTCATTTGTTATTTCTTCATACTTCAAGTGGAATGGATGGATTAGAGACTATGCAAGTTGATTTTAACTGAATTAATTTGAAACAAATAACTACTACCAGTAAGGCAGAAAAATACATTTCTGCATTAACCTGTTTTTTCAGCTGCAGAGAACTTGTCAGACAGACAAAGAGCGAGACAGAGAGGGCCTTCATCCTGACCTGTTTTGAATAGAGCGAGGCTGACAACCCGTGTGCCCGACTATCTGTGTGATGTTCTTGGCTTCGCACCAGGCGCTCTTGTCAGGGAACAGCGCCAGGCGGTTGATGTGTGCAGGCGGTGCCGCTGAGTACAGTGCAAACAGTGCCCAACAAATCTGAATCCTCTGCCACATGACTGCACCTAAAGGGGCAGAAAACCACAGCATTTCACCGCTCTGTTGATCTTTTTCCACAAAAACACACACATTCAAAAGAGTATAGTCACAAACTCTCTTGATGTTTTTCTCTGATGTGCACTGGTCGGATGTTGCCTTGATTTACAGTGACTGTGAAATTATGACTCATCATGTTCTTCCAGATGTAAATTGGCAATTTGATTAGCAGCTAAAAACCCAGGGGGCTCTTTACTTCATATTTTCTGCAGTCGCGCGTTTGACTCATTTGAATGATTAAAAGAGACAACCTCCTAATTGCCTGAATCACCAGCTGCAGTGAGAACAACACGCATACTGAGTTCATAGTGTCCAAGAAGAGACAATACAATGGGGGGAGACAGGCAAATGTCTGCTCCTACCACCTGACTCTAATCGTCTGTCGTCTGCTCTGTTTCACACTCTCCTTTAAAAATGCCTCAGCCAGTCACGTCATTTACAGCCCACAAAATCGTTTTCTCCTGCTGCTTATAAAAAAGTGTTCGGTGGTCACCCACATAGACACACCGTTCAGCACTTCCATATGTCTCTGACACAAGACACCTTGTCTACAAGAATCAATAGAGCTCTCCTTATCTATTGTGTATAGATAATAAAGATAAAGGGCCATCTGGGGGGTGCTGTTCTGAGGTGGGAGGACTTTCTTTAAAATGTATAAATCTTATTTTACAGACTTCAGGCTACTTTCTTCAAACACAGCATGTTTACAGACTGAGCACCTTGACTGTATTATGTTATGCTAATCATAATCAGCTTTATTGGCCAGGTATGTGAAGGTTACACATACCAGGAATCTAACACCGGTATTCGTGTTGCTCTCATTGTACATGGTCACAGAAATATAAAGAGTTAACACAAACATTTAACACAAACAGTAACGAATGAGTTAGTATTATTGAGTTACTGTCTCTAATACAGTGTCGATGAAAACCTCGTTGTTTTTTCTGACATTTTATACAGATTAAATGGTTAAATCTGAATTAAAATAGTGTGTTACCCACAATCTCTGGTACGGGAGCAGTTCCCAGTAACTTAACCTACGGTAACGGCAGTTATTCCGGTTGACACAGGTTAAAGAGATGAAGAAATCTTCCCCTCTGACTTTATTTTTAAGTATCGCACTCGGTCTGGGCTTATAGTTTAGGCAACGTGATTCCCCTGACTTTTCACCGGCAAGTTCATGTTTTTTCATCGAGTTACTTCGGAAGTTGGGAGAAGTTGCAACATTTTAAACAAGTGTCGCAGCTCACTAACGGATGGAAAGTAACGTTACACATAGAGAAGTACCGTAACGTGTTAGCAGCTCTCGGAGGCTGCCTACCGACAGTATCAAGTGAAAGCTACTAATAAACGACACTTTTTTTAAACTATGAGTAATGGCGTAAAAGTTACTTTCTGAGTAACGAACCCCGTGGAGACACTTACCAGCGCGAGGAGCCGCCTGTGGAGCACTGCGCAACGTCCCGCGGAGCTCAGCCCTCTCCTGCTAAAACCAGAGGATGCGGTTTGCTGTCGGATATCAGCGTCCGCTGATAATGTCAGGACAATGTGAGCACTTGGTCAGGAGGCGAGGAAATACGTCCGAGCCCAGTCTGTCATAAAACAGTTACATCATCCGGAAAGAAAACAGAACCGTGCGTCTGACGGGGAAAGGATGGAGAGATGGGATTACTTATCTCATCACCGAGTCCATCGACTCACACCGGCCCTCCCCTTTGTTCTCTCTGCCCGTCCAATGTTTAATTCCCTCGTAACTCTGCCGAGAAACACTTTCCAAGTTGTTGTCTTTTGTTGTAAAACTCTGGAGCAGAGGTTAGGCGCGGTTGAGCCCCCAGACAGGGGTCCTGCTGTGCCGTTTCTGGAAGAAAACGGAGGAGGAGGAGGAGGAGGAGGAAGAGGAGGGGGACTGTTGGGAAGGTATCAAATGTTTCCCAAAGTAGGAACGAGGCCAGATCGCAGATCAGATTCACAGGGAAAAAATGCAAATGAAAACACAAATAGTGTCATGCGTTATCTTTGCAATCTGGCAATGTCTTACTCACACGTTTTTGGGGTATTAAAATTAAAACACTAAAACGGTGATAATGCAACACAACTGGAAAACAGATCATTCAACAGACCAATGCTTTGATCCATTTTTGTTTTACCTAGGAAGTCGAAATTATGTCAACATCACGTGCTCGTGACAACTTGATCTTTTAAGGCCTCAATAGGTTTGGAGCGAAACCACTGACAGACTCAAAGCAAATGCTGCAAGGCACTGCAAGGTCAAATTCTACTTACAAATGAATACACAAATAACAATAATGTATTGCATAGCATTCACAGGGGCCATATTTCTGCATATCCTTCTGACACCAGAAAGTGAGCTACATGTAGCTAATGATAATAACGTTTTCGATGCCTGACCTTTACTTGGAACTGAATATTTTTACAGAGTGTTATTGCAGATCTGTGTTCAGCAGTATCAGCTACAGCAGCTCCAGTCATGCAGCAGCACACATGTCTGGTCTTATATTTCGTGCCAGACAGTCACCAGCACTGACTGAACAGTTTTGATCCATTAGATTAACAAATTGGATATGTGTTATTATTAGACCAGTAATTGTGATTCATCATGGATCATTTTTACATTATAGACAGGTAATTATGATTTATCATGGAGATGTTTCAGACAGGCACAGACAGGTATGGCCCGTGGGTTTTGGCTGCCTTGTTACACCTCAGCTGTGTCACTGGTCCCCCTCCCACACACGCACACACACACACCCCATTCCTGCACTTCATCCTACCTGTGTACAGGTGTTCAGCCTGGCTTGTGTCCAGAAGCACCCCCATCTGTCTCATGCTTCACTTGCAAACACATATTTTAATGGACACGGGACGAGTGACATGGCTTAATTTCTGACATTGCCCATTATGTGCTTATATTGCTGAGAAAAGTGTTAGTGTGATGGAGAGGGGGAATGGGAGTGTGTGTGTGTAGCGTGCATGCATCAGTGTTTTCTTTGATGTGAAAGTGTAAACCATGTGTTATGTTCAGAGTGCAAAGTGCAGAACTCACCTGTTAGTAATAAGAGCAGACTCCAGTCCATAAATGGCATTCCTCTGCATTCCACAGATTCTGCTTCACCAGGGGTCTGGATAAACGTGTGCGCCTGCACACGCTCATTCAAACAATCCTTCTTCTCTCCGAGCAGGCCCATGCAACCACACATAAGTGATCAATCACACTCTCGGCCAACGAATACACAAGACGTAAGAGATTCTTCCTGATATGGAGACGTGTGCTATTCCAACTCTTCGGGAAGAACACTTCTATACAGTCACAGCTAAACACGCTTGTCCAACTCACACAACTTAAAAAAGGACTACAAACCAGTCTGTGCAAATTCATGATCTAGCATGGGTGGAGATCAGGCTTGGTTATCTACACGTTATGGTGTTGGAAGAAATCTACATCTATAAATAGTTGAACTATAGGATAATGTTCTTGTTACACACGTGGATGCAAACATAACTCTCTCTTTCAACAATAAGTCTCCCACCAACTGTATGTTCTTTATTCCATCATTCTGTGGACTTTTCATCCTCCCACTCTCTAACAGGGCTGCAGATGCTGAACCTGGCCCTCATTCCAAAACAGCAGGAGTTCCAGTCTCCCAGCTCATTAACACACAAAATTGCCTCCCGCCCCCAAACCACATTTCATTCTCCTCAAACATGCACAAAGAGAAAACAAAGAGAGAAACAGATGGAGTTTTCCATAATCGCTTTATTAAATATACATTGACTGATAAACACAACATGGGAATCATTGGACGTTAGTGCCAGGACAGAAAGGAGCAGCAACACAAAAACAGATGAACAACTTCATGGCAAATCCTGCTCATCTTTAGTCCTTCACTTACTGGTCCTGTAAATGAGCACAAAAAAACACATGAAGCACGATGTGTCACAAACCTCTGACAAACAATACATTTCACCCTCTGCACTCACCTTAACCATGTTGCCATGAAGCAGGTATGGAGACCTAAAGTCATGCTGGCAGTTGGCGTATCCCATTCCCAGTCCCAAACCTGAACCAAGTGAGACAGGCCATGTGCGACCTGGGGGGGGGGGGGGGGTACCCATAAATGATGTTTTAAAGAAGCAATTACAAAAAAAACAAATGCATTTACCAGTCTCCCTTAATTAAGAAACAGCACTTACGTTTAAAGAGAAGGACGGAGAACACAACGCCCACAGCAAGACCAGTTACTGCAGAGAGGAAGAAAAAAAGAAAGCATGTAAAGTAAAGTGACTGAACTACACTTCCAACAATGACTTAACTTCAGTACTGAGGTAATGTGATCACATCTGATCCAGTATAAAAACCTGGCTGGCATAGATGTCGACCTGTAATGAGGTCAGCGAGGTGCCGCTATTATGTCTGATGCAAGAGTTGGTAAATAGCACACGTTAGCAAGACATTGCTCATTAGGAAAAGAGAGGGAGACAAAAGGCAGCAAGAGAGCACAAACTTCCAAGAAAGAACGGAAACAGTAAAAGGGGTGCAAGAGAGGGGGAAAATAAGTGAGAAGGAGTGGCCAGAGTCCATGAGGCGGAGGGCAGAGGAGGTAATGGGTCAAAGAGTGCACACGTGTGCAGGTAAGCAATGCCTTGACCCGGTGTGGTCCAGCAGGAGGTTAGTCTCAGTGACACAGAAGCTGGCTCAGTTGTTTGAAGTGCTCAAACCGGAGTGGGATCTTGAGGAGGAATGTGTTTGTGCGCTTAACTTCACCTCGCTGCAGGCCACACCACACCCAACAGCAGGCCAGCCAGCACAGAAAACACATTTTTTTTAAAAAACAGCCATTTGAGCCCCACCGACTCTTAATTGAATTCAGTAAGCTATGCAGCATGACCTATTTGCCTGAACCCTCAGACTCTTCTCTTTAGCACAACTTACACATGTCAAACAAGACCACAAAAGACCCAGCACGCCCTCAGTGCAGATCAACAACAACCCATTGTCGTCTGTGTCCATTTCAAGCAAAGAGTTAGTTACATTTAAGGTTCTCCGGCTTTCTTTGCTCTTCAGCCAGAGAGCCCCTTTTGAAGCCCCTGATCTTCCACTGACAGTAATACAGCAAAAGCACTGGCAAAATATGAGGGCTGATCAGCATCTCATTTTGGCGTCCTCTCTCTTTGTCTGTACGTCTCCAAGGGAGATGGTTTATAACAAAAACATTTGTGCTGCAGTAGAATAAACTGTATAACCCACAGGCCACAAAATACTCAGTCGGTTTCCCAGAAAATGAAGTCCAGAGCTAGTTAATGTTATTGTTATTCGTTTGTTCATTATTTCAAGCATTTTTGGGAAATGGAGTCAATAAAAACATTCCATTTTGTGAATTTAGTGCAGCAAACACAACTTCAGATGTAAAACTCACATTGCAAGTTTTAAACGATTGTGGCGGCACATTTCTGTGTGGAGCTAATGCTTGTGATGTTTCTCTGTGATGAAGGGGCATTGTTCAGGATTTGCACAGACTTATCTTTCCTAATATGACACGGTGACAGTCATTACTGTAACTGTGAAGTAATATAAATAATGTTGGTTTAATTGTGCAGCTATTCTTACTGATTTTCAGAGGCATTCATAGTGGCCTTGTGATCAGTTGCAATAACTCTGGTACCCTGACATTTCATCTCGTGCCATCATCAGATCAAAATTTCAATTTGCGCAATAATTTGGTTCATGACTCAGACTAGTGACATTTCCATCAGCTTCACTTTGTGTTTTGTGCCAATTGGCAACCGTTAGTGAGCTAAAATGCAAACCTAAGACAGTGAACAAGGTAAAAAATGATATCAGCATGTTAGTATTGTCATTGTGAGCATGTTAGCATATATGTGGTGAAGACTAATAAATGTCGGTCTCACTCTAACATTGTTTCTCAAATTAAATGTTTCCAATAAAGACAGTTGTTTCCTGTTATGAAGAGAACGTTTCCAATTATTTTCCTCCCGAACATCAATGCACATGCTTTCCTTTCACTTTTATCCCTGGCCAGTATATCTCCTCTCATCCTTTGATGTTCAGTGCATATCCTTTGTAGGATATCCAAAGTTTTACTACTTAATCTGAACCTGTGTGTGTAAAATGACGTATAGATGTACCAGAGGATACCAACCCTTTATGCGATTATCTAGTTTATGGTTCGTCTAAAGTTAACAATGCTACACAAAATACGCTGAACAACATCTTCCTGAGCAAACGTGGAAAGATGGAGCTAACAAATAAAAGTGAACCCTAAGCTCCTGAGCAGAACATATGCTGCAGAGCTTCTCTGGCTACAGACACACCTTGGCACAGCAGACAGTTTGCTACACAGAATGAAGAATGTCCTCCCAGCAAGAAACATATTTCATTGTGCCAAAGTTGACGTCATTAAGTGTCTTTTGGGACAGATTGTTTGCCAGTCTGAGTATTTGAGTGCTGCATCAACACCCATGGTGATCTGCTCAATACCTAACGCTGTGTAGTTCAGTGACGATTGATTGAGAGGAGGCCAGAGTCCATGGAGGAAACCTCTAAACCAGGAAACATCTATTCATTTTGATCGAACTTTCTCAAAATCCCTGTTATACATAGCAGATGGTTTTGGCAGTAAATTCAAACATGTCTGCTGAGTAGTGTGTGTATTAGCTATCTATCAACGTAAATGTTACACATAAGCTGTTTTCAATGCGAAGTGGATGTACAACAATAAAAAAAGTGATGGTTTTCAGTTAGAAGACAGAAAAGAGACTTGTAATGATACTGCTCAGGTTGTTCTCTTCCTTCAGCACTTCTCTTTCTGCTGATAATGGGCTAAATGTAGCAAAATATAATTATAAATATATAGACTTTATCTGTTGATCCGGGTTGTAGGGTGTTTGCGCCATGCTTAAATGATGTCAGGTTAACTTATTCCTGGATCAAAGCCCATGAAGCTACTACAGACTTCATAGGTTGACGGGTTTGTTCTGCTTTCCAGTTGAACTGCTGCTGCATCAGTTGAAAATATTTATTGTTATAACAGAAAAGAACTCAAATCATAACACCATATGCCAAACAAAAGTGGAAAATTGGGGAACACTGGTCACATGTAGACCATCACCGGCTACACTACAGGAGTCCGTCCACACTAAACTGGGAAATTCTGAAAAGGCACCTCAGTCCATGGCGTGCCAGCATTCTCTCTCCAGAGTGGATAAATCTGAAGAGGCTGGCTTTGCATTTTCCTGTTGACAGAGAAAATCTTCTGGAAAACAATAACATATGTCCTCCCAGACAGGCCCGGAGGCTGCAAGGAAGGAAATGATGAACCATCCGATCTCTGAACCCATCGGCTATCGATCATGCTACATATGAATAAAGAATCTGTTTAATAGAGATTATGAACCATCTGTCACACAGCACATCTGATGTCATCACGCTGTATTTACACGTATGAAACTGGATTAAATCACCATTTCATACAGAAGAAGAACCATATTTGATACATGCTGTATTAAAACACAGAATACGGAGTAGGAGAGGACTTAATAGTGGTTTAAATGAGCAGAGTAATCAAGTGGTCCGCCCCACTCATAGATTTAGCAGTTTCTAATGGTTTGGGTGATTTCGGGGGGCAGACTTCTCATTTTCACCCAGTTTCATGTGCATGTGGTCTGAGTTGAATCTGCACCTCTGACAGTCTTAACAAAAACCTTGTATGTGTGAGATATGCATTCGTTTTAAGAGCCAGAGTATGACTGTAATGCTCTTTGCTGCTATTTAACTGTAAAATGTTCAGTTGTGGGCGATGGAGAGATGAGAGAACTAGTCTAAGGATGAAAGTGGACAGAATGATCCTTTACGGCTGTGACAACGTCACGCCATCCGTGTACTCCGATTACTTTGTTCACACACTCAGTACAGTCCGCTAATCAAAGCCCAGCTTGTATCCCAACGCTGTGTGGTCTTCTTCAGTCTAATCATTCTTCACCCAAATAACAAAACACGTTAGTTTGACCCGTTCAGCAGACAGGTTTACGGTTGACCTTAGTAAGCTGTGCCAGGATGGTCAGACACATGTCCCGTAGAAAAGGACCTCGACTGGCTGGTAGCACAGCTTATTTACCACGTGTAATGTACTGCAAGATACCTTATAGACGCGTTACATAATAATATGACATTTATGAAAAGACATTAACCTGTTTTCACGGCTGTATCAGCAAGACAGCGGTCCCATTTCCGTCCGTGTACGTCTGCCATGTTTTCAGCTGTCAGGAAGCTCCTCAAAGTATCGCGAGAGAAATATAAAGTCACGTGAACTCACAATTGTCCGGTTTTTACCTCCATGGTTTTTACAAACAGTTTATGATTTTATACCCTTCCGGTTTTTGTTTTGTATTTGTATTCAGCTCCTAAAATAACGTCCACTTTGAGTGAACATCTCTTTTTGATATCATATTCATTTAATTAGGCAACATGGGACATTCAACTTGATGTTACAAAGAGTCTAAACAGCACCTTCCTGTTTACACAAATGCACGTTCACACATTTGATAGAAATAACATGTGTTGGCCCCCTGAATTTATGTTCCGTTATTCCGTTTAAAGGGCTAATCCTTTCGATAACATATTTAAAACCAACTTGTCTTGCTGTCATCTCAGTAATCTGGTATATATGTATGCATGATGCATACATGCAAGTGTTGCACATACCATACAGTCTATGGCAAAAGCTGAACAGAAAACTAGGAGATCCAATGTAATGCTGTGCAGGCAGTAACAGTAGGCATTTGACACTGGACTAGTCTTCTTTCTCTGAATATGTTTTTCCTCACAGATCATCTAGGTGTGATATATTTTGAGAAGGAACTTGAGCCCCACCTTCATCGTGGTTTTTTAAAACACATTATTGTGTTCATAGCGTAAATTTTTGAGATTGTAGCTAGATTACTCCTACTCTAATGAAATTCCAGCGGACTACATGCTGTAAGATGCTGCTTTCCTCTCAGTAAATATTATACAGATGTTGGAGGGGTGTACAGGCAGGTTGCCCATTTACAAACAATCCAGGATGCACATGCAGCTTCAGGGCAGAACGCATATTTGAACAATGCGGTGGTGTCTTTGATGTGGAGAATTTTATAAATAAATCAGAAATATCTATAAATAACAATAATAAAGATATACTTGCTCACTAACCCCTGAAAAATTGTCACACGAAAGACATTAACCCAGACTGTGGGGAGAAATGACCTTACCTATTGTCAATAAGTAGGGAAACTTTCACATATGTGATGTACAACATTAAAAATCATACTTATGATAGCACATTTGATCCTTAAAAAAAATATACAAGTTGTGCATTTTATCATCCAAAGTTATGAGTCTGCAGCTCTATCCAACCAGAATAATGACTCACTAAGTGTTGGTTAATCCTGAGGGAGAACACCAGCAAACCAACACATTAACTCAATGGCAGGTGAAAGAGTTGGGTATTGATTAACGTTGCAATCAGCAGTAGACATGATTTTACATTACAAAGACTCATTTCATTCTGTTTTGATATTTTTTAAAAAGCATTAATGAACCACCAGTTACTATAGATGTCGCCAAATCCACCACAACAGCCCATTAACCATGATCGATCATCACCGTCAACACATTTAGGTATTGTAAAAATCCATTCATTCATTTCACCTGCTTGTATACTTGCGTCGTTGTTGCATAATACAAACAAAGGTACATTGCTATTCCATTTAAAACCAATCAAACTAAACCCGAGGGAGTCTTCAGAATACGAGCTTATACATATAAATAAAACAAAATATAAAGCAAGTAATAGTGAAATAAAGAGACTACTATATATGGCGTCATTGACTGATACAAAAATCTTTAATGACAAAGGGAAATAAAAAATAAATGTATTATAAAGGAATTATAATTATACTTATGTCTGTCTCATGTCAGACGATATGTGTGTATTAAAAGGATTAGATCAGAAATAAAGGTAGAACATATAATGTAAAAAACAGGAATATGAATACATTATTTTGATTTGCATAATTGCTGACATTTTAAAATAAAATTAATAAAAGGAGTAAAATTCTGTAAACATTGCATTAACAGCAGTTTCCAGTCATCGTTGGTCGAGCAAGGCTTTTTTTCAACTATATTCAGCGTATTTGTCTATCTCCTGCCCGCTGAGTGCACATTTACTGCACCACTCCTCTCTTTCCATACTTGGCAATGCCTTTCTTGCACCTTCGCTATTGGCTGCTGCAGAGAAAGCCCGGAGTGACCCGGATGTGCAACCGAGGCCTGTGTTTTCTGACTGCAGCCTCCTTCCTGTAGCCCGGTTGAGGAAGTGAATTTCGCTGACAGGGCTGGGTTCAGTGAGGGAGAGGCGAACAAAACAGCTTCCGTGGGGGACTATAAAAACAACACAAGAAGAAGAGACGCGAGGAGTGATCTTTTGAACCGTAGTAAAGCTAAGGTGTACAGTCATCGTGCTCCCCTGCCCCGCCGAGACCGCCGCAGACATGGTAAGGGCCGCGGTAGAGCTGCAGGAGACAGGGACGGGGTAAGAGGGTTTTGGTGGGGCTGCTGCTAACGGCTAGCGGTGCTAAGCTAGGCTAACGCTAGCTGGAGGTGCTGGGTGGTAACCTGAGAGCAGCAGCAGGGGATTCAAGTGTATAAATCACCGACACACATCTAAGTTGCTGTGTTTGCAAAACGTCCCCGTACCAGATACCAATGAATTAGCTCCGAGGCTAAGCTAGCAGCTGTTTCTTCCAACTAGTTAGCTAGTAGCTAGCCAAGCTAGATCCCCCGTAGGCATGAAGTTAGCACAGGATGTTTTGGGTTTGCAAGATCGTGTATAGTATCAGTGAAGTCTTAATATAAGGTGTGCCCCCCCTCCCACGCACACACACAGTTATCCAGTCGTGCACCACACACGCACATACGGGCTAATATAGTCAAGCCCTTGGTTGCCTGTAGCTAAAATAAGACTGCTTGCTCCTCCTATTCCTAACTACGACAAGCTGTCAACCTCCTCAATCTTTTCCTGCCCGACGAGTTTGATCTTAACTTTGGATATAGGGACATGTTAAACTCTGACATTCCCTTCAAATCATACCAGCAGTTATTGGTTACTGTTGCATGTTTGTTTTTAAAAACATTTTCCTATCTAATAACTTTATATGGCATTGACATCGCAGTAATTGATCATGTGTGTATGCTTGAAAAATATTGTTGCCTATATATATATATATATATATATATATATAGAGAGAGAGAGTACATTTTTGACTTGAGCTGTTCTTGCATAATGGAGCACAACGGTGTGTTTTTGTAGTAACGACTACATTTTCTTATGCCTGAGTTTGGAAGAGCAGCTGGTTTTTCTCCATGGTCGCCCAATCTCATCAGCCTCACCTCATCCATTCTGCTGGCTGAGCCTCACCGCCTCCCCTGACCCCGGGGTTGTTGGTCTGAGCTATTGTTTACACAGAGACAGGAGCACCGGTAAACACTGTGTCAAGGAGCGCAGGTGTCTGATGGTGCAGACTGATTCATCAGCTGAGAGAGATTTTAAGACGGGCAAAAAGCAACTCAGAGGAGAGGAAATGGCACGGGAGACTTTGCCTCGAAATTTCTATTATGGTCAGGGTCATCCTTTAGGAAAATGTTTATGGAAAAAGGGTTTTCTACTTTATAACATGTCATTGCCCTTTTACCAGCAAGCAGTTGCATGAGTACACTCTGTCAGGCTTTTGCACTTAACAGGAGTCACTTCATAGATAAGCTACGGTGGAGAGTTTTGTCAACATCTAAAAGGGAGGTGAATAAAATGAGTATAACAAATAATGTAACGGGGCAAAAAAACAATTTTATCTCTGGGCTTTCATACCGATTGTGATGTTTGTAATGACACGTTATAAGTGACCACAAGTTGGTAAACACAGTTACACAACATTAAAGTTGACCTTAATTCAGTTACTGTAAAAACATTTTAATTCTGTAGTAGTGACTTTTATGGCACTGTCTGATAATGCTCAGATGAAAATGAATGAGGCATAGTTACCTGTTAGGCTTAGCTTAATAATGGGGTTGTCCCTCTAGTGTTACTCAACTTCCTAAATCTTCGTACACATTCCCCAGAGTTTCATGTTGTGGCTGGTCTGTCCTCCCCTGCTCAGTGCTCACTAATGTCCTGCTGCTCGCTGCACAGTTAAGGGAGAGAAACAGAAATTCTTGGGGGAAGGCTGAGCAATGCAGTCCTGTCTTTTCTGATGAGTGAAATATTTTACATTTAATTTATCATAAAACTGCTACACAACAAAGACACAGTAAAAGGAAGACTGTTTTGTTAAAGAAATGTTTCCTTCTGGATAAAACATACAGGAATGTTTATCTGCAAGAGTTAAAGACTAGCCAGCTGCTTCACAAACTAGTTTATTGGGGACATTGACTCTCAAACATGAGCTGAGTCTGGGTGACTAAGTACATAACAAAACAATCCTCAGTAAACAACTCAAACATGTAACCAAAAGGCTGTATTGAAGATTCTGAATGAGTTTTGGGCTCATTGTGATGATAGTGAGGTTTTTAGTGTTTGTTACAAAACACACTTCACAGTATTTCTGTCAATTCTACAAAACCTACCTTCAGTTCCTACACTGATAGTTAGTGTTTTACATTTAAATATGGTTTGATTGATCAGTCACATCGTTCGTTCGCTTTGCAGTAATTAATCAGATCTTCATGTCACGATGCTGGGAGCAGGCCCAAAAAGACACGATCAGCCATCAGGTTCTAATGTGTGAGAAAAACACTCGACAATGCATTGTGGGTCACACACCCCCAGGCTGAAGTTAGTTTGATAAACACATGTGGCCACGTTTCACCAATTTCCTGTGAGAAACTCTGAAACTCATGCCTTCCAAACGTCCATTTGTTCAGTTCATTTCTTCTGCTATGAAGACTGTTTGACAGTGATCACCATGTGGGACGGATGAGGGACTATTCTACTGTCACTGCACCTACTGGTCGGTCAGGATGTCTGTGTGGAAGGAGATCGGGTCAGAGATTGATGCCCTTAGTCAGTGATGTGAGAGCAGATGTTTTGGGTTAACTTAGCTGACGCACTAAAACGTCAAGAGTCCTTTACAAACAAAACAAAACGCCCCATGTTCCAAGAGCATTATAAATATTAGAGTCTTGTAAAGTTATATATTCTACTTGTCTGGTGCCAAATTAAAAAGCTACTTAACTTTTGCTGGCAACATATAAAACTAGGCAGCAACCTCCGGTTCTGCCGAGTGAAGCCGATGCGGAAGTGTCTTAAAACTTTCATTCTCTCTACTGACCAGCAGGGGGAGACTCCTCCGGATTCAAAAGAAAGTCGGATTGTATGGAAGTCTATGAGAAAATGACTCTACTTCTCACTTGAGTTATTACCTCAGTAAACATGAGTTTATGGTCTATACAGGATGCTGTTCATTTAGTAAATTATGGTCTCATTTAGAATCAAGCAGACCATAGAGCGGAGTATGCTTTAGGGCGGGCATACTGTGATTGACAGGTCGCTGCCGCTAATTTCCCTCGTCCGCAATCCCAATATCGTAACTTCCGTTCATCGGTTACGGGGGAAAAAATGCCAATGGCCGCATTCAAAGATGGCGACGGCAAAATCGCCGACTCGAAGCTTCATAACAGCAGTCCACTAACCAACGGGTGACGTCACGGTGACTACGTCACGATGACTACGCCCACTTCTTATGTACAGTTTATGTAGATAACCAAAGAGGCCAAACTTCATTTTTATAAGTTACAGTGTTGACATTTACCTGTTTGTAGTTCACCTCAGTACGACTCTTCCTCTGCCACACTACCTGCTGCTGTTTGACGATAAGCTGATAGCGATTCCACTCAAATGTGCCGCCTGTGCTCCGTGACACACGCCTCACAGCCAGATGAACGCATCCTTTGACCGCTCATGGACTATCTTCACCGACCTCACTTATTTGGATATGTTCAGACGAGCCACATGTTAGATAGTTGGATAGTTTTCTGCACTGTGAAATGCAATGAGGTCAAACTTTTCACAATTGCTCTTTCATCTGTAACGCATGACAAATCATGAGTGCTATTCAGTCTGCTGAGCTGGAAACGTTGTCTGTCGTCTCTCAGTGCAAGCAGAGTTTGCCTGCAAGGGTGTGGATATTTCCTCCACAGCAGCTCCTCTCATACCCTCGTCCAGAATGTAGCGGGCCTTTATCATTGTGGTGGTCATTATTTATAGAGAGCATACCAATACTCAGTCCTGATCCAATACCTGCGTGTATGTTCCTACTTAATACAACTGCACAGTGCACAGTAATCGAGAGCCTCCTCATTAGCACAGCAGGGCTTTTCACAATTAGGTTCACAATTTTTCAAGTGTGTCTTTAAACAATAGTCAGGTGCCCGTATGAATGGAAGCAGGTTTTGTCTAATGTAATCATTCCTCCTGTTTCTACTGGCCCTTAAGAGAGAACCTCTTAATGCGCTTACAAAGTAAGTGATGGGGTAAAAAATCCATAGTCCTTATTCTCCGTTAAAACAACATTTCAGAGTTTATGTGACGATATGGTGAAGCTTCAGCAGTCTGAGTTAGTAGACGTATTTTCAGTACAAGAGTTTGTGTTTTCTCAGGCAGTGTTGACTTGTTGAGCTGCAGAAGAGGGACAGTAACTCAAAGAGGACATTTTGTACTCAAAAGGTTATAACCTGAAATGGAAGATTCCCACTTGATTTATAATGTACTCGAGACAAGACGGCACACGGGGGACTGTGGAAACCCCGGCACTAGTGTTTAGTGTTGTTGCAGGAAGATTCTGGATTTGAACAAAACCTTGTTAATCCTCAGCATCAACATAATACTGAAGTTCAAATGAACTCGTCAAACAGCAGAAGTTTAGAGAGGTATAATCTACTACTCTACTCTCTGCTGGGCCTCACTGAGGGGAGCATCACTAACACTTACTGCAAATATATAATTTTTGTGCCACTCTGTTTCTTTTTCTTGCAACACTGTCAATCTCGAGTGCGAGTATGAGCATTTTATACAGCTGGCCATTTATAAAATTAAAAAAGACCTACTGGAATTTGATCAGGTGTAATATACCAATAAACATCACCGATCTATGACGTTATAATAAAGACCAAGTGCTCCAGAATGTAAACACTAATTGAAAGCAGCTTTTTTTCAGGACATTACATTCCACTTAAATGTGAAACCAATTTTTAAATATGATGAAACGATTAATATTGTTGTCTTACATCATTACAGCTGGATCTGTTGGCTTTCTACTTCAGCTGTAGTGAGAAACACAGAACAAGTTGATAGTGTTGTAACTTTGCTCTGTTAAAAGAAAAGTATTATCAATTATTGAATAGTAAATATTTGACTTCAGCTCTGACGTACATGGTTTTACAGGACAGAATGTTTTATGAGTAACTCTCTTTCTGCCTTTAGAAACAACTAAGAGATTTTTAAATCTGTCAAATTGCCTCACGAGCTCCACGTTGTTGGAACAGTTGTTTGAAACGTGGTCAGTTGAAACATACCAGTATACAGTAACACACTGAATGTGAGTGTGGAGGGAAGCTGCCGGGCTGTGGCGCTCTGAGCTGATGTGTTTAACTATAAAGTGATCGTACAGTGTTGTAACCGTTGTCTCTCTGTTTTCAGAACGACCAGCAGCTGGACTGTGCTCTGGACCTGATGAGGCGTCTGCCTCCTCAGCAGATCGAGAAGAACCTCAGCGACCTGATCGACCTGGTGAGTTACTGTCTTTGCTTCGTCCTCTCTGGTTTCTTTACGGGGACACGCAGGCAGAGAGCCGGCTGTGTCCCTCACAGTCCACCTCACACATGAGGAGGTGGTCACACTTCTTTAAGTTATATATTGGACCACAGTCGGTCTCTGAATAGGGCTGGCTGATAATTAAATATGATAACTTATCGTCTTTCAATGAAATCAAATAGCGAGATATAGTAATAAACAATTGTTTTCTAAATTGATAATAACGGACACATTCTAACTCAAATTGAAAATTGTTCCAAAACCATTTTTTCTTTCCCAATATTTATTCTGATACCTAAACTTGTACCGATCCGATACCAGTGTGTCAAAAATAAAGTTTAACGGGTGTAACTCCTCCTTGAATATCTTGTTTTATATTGCTGTAAAAACATCTCCTTCAAACAACTGTATTTATTCAAGATTACGTTTCAACACATCATGATCACGTTATAATTTACCTTCGCATCATAATATAACTCAACGGAGCCTCCGTTAACGGCCGGTAGCGCCGTTATTTTGTTATTTTAACTTCATTATTTTATACTTGAATGATAACCGACTCAAAGCCGACCTCTCTCTTCCCCACCCACTGTAGTGGGAAGATGAAGGCTAAGTAGTTTAAATGACATTGTTCTTTATTGTTGAAAAAACGGCAGCAAAACGTGTTACCCTTCAATACAGATATGAGCTAACTCTCTCTCTCTCACACGCACACACACACTTCCTTCCCGCCCTCATAGATGATGTAGTAAGAAGCACTTTTTTCTTTAATAAAGCAACACCAGTGGTTGGACGGAGAAGAGCTCGTCAACCAACCAATCGACTCACCGACCAGAAGCCGGGGGGGGGCGGGCCTCTTGTGGTTTTGATCTTGTTTCAATGTGACAGTTGCTGCACATCAGGGTGACATCTGGGTAACTGAGGCTATTTTTAGCATTTGATGTAGCAAAAGAAGTTTTATTTATTTATTTTTTTTTGTAAATCCTCAGTGCAACACTTTAATAACTTGTAAATGAATCATTTCTTTCCTTCCTACATTTTTCTGTTTTTAATAAACATTTTGAAATTGTTAGACCTGTTTGGTGGATTTTAACAGAGCAGTGCCAGCTGACTCCGACAAATTAAGCAAAATCAGACACGCAATCAAACCACACTTTTACCATTGTTTGCATGACACCTTGTTTTGTGGGCATATGTGTTCTCACCTCCCTCCTCCCTCACCTTTAACCTCTCTCTACCCGGGCTTCGTCTCTCTCTCCTCACCCATTTCACTGTGTCCGGTTGTTAGCGCCTATTAGCGCATCTGTCAATCACCTCCACTGCCAGGCACTATTTGGCTCCACCATCTCTGCTCAAACTCTTCCTGGTGACTCAGAATCACCTGAAATCACGTCTTTCCTTCCTGTTTTACCCACATCTCTCCCGTCCTATCTGCTCTCCATTTTCTCCCCTACCACTCTTCCCACTGGGCTTTGTGTCCCCCCCCCGTCCTTCCCTTGTCTTATCAGTCTGGGCTGCCAGGTGTGTGTTCGGGGGGATTTTCTTTTTAGGGAAACAGTGCCTCCTTTGTGTCTGTACTCTGATGTTGGAGGACATAAAGAGGGATGGAATAGAGAGAGATGTCAGTCTGTGAGAAGTAATTTGTACCACCTTATCCTTTAGATTATGTTTCCCGTTGATTCTGTAACCTCTGCTCATTGATTGGAGCTGGAATGTGAAAGACATGAAGTTCCAGTTCATTTTTGACCAGAATGAGAGGATTAAACACAAGGCTGCTTTTGTTTTTGCCGTCTACTCTGGTCCTTCAGTCCTGCACATTTTAGAAGTTGGCATCTCGTACAGGAAGTCTGCACTGGCCAAAATATCTTGCTCATATGTTTCAAGACAAACAGAGCACTTTTAATAACGTGTCTGAGGAGATGTGTTACAAACTTTTGCATAAGTTTCTGCGGCTGAGCACATGAAAGTATCCGTGCTGTGGAGAACAGTGTGTTGATGTTGAGCTTTTTTCTCTCCGTGTGTGTCCAGGTGCCCAGTCTGTGTGAGGACCTCCTCTCCTCTGTGGACCAGCCCCTGAAGATCGCCCGGGACAAGGTGGTGGGGAAAGACTATCTGCTCTGCGATTACAACCGAGACGGCGACTCCTACAGGTCGAGTTTATGACTGCACTTCATTCATGGACCAAAGGCAGTGACTGAAACGTTTTCCTTGGCTTTTAATGGGTTTTGTAATGTCCTTTTTAAAATCACCAGATCCCCGTGGAGTAATAAGTATGAACCTCCCATTGAAGACGGTGCAATGCCTTCAGCTCGCCTGAGGAAACTCGAGGTCGAAGCTAATAACGCCTTTGACCAGTACAGAGACCTGTGAGTTCCAAGGAGGCAACCTCGTGGGAAGTTTTAATAACCGGTCAGCGTTGCCCTCTTGTGACCTTTTGATGTGTTTTTTTTCAGGTACTTTGAGGGCGGCGTGTCCTCTGTGTACCTCTGGGACTTGGATCATGGCTTCGCTGGAGTTATTCTCATCAAGAAGGCCGGGGATGGATCCAAGAAGATCAAAGGGTGCTGGGACTCCATCCATGTGGTGGAGGTGCAGGTGAGAATCAGCTGATGCGAAATAGGTTGACACTTGAATTTGATCCCGCCCAGACTTTTTGTTTTCTTAGAGGGAGTCAGAACGAGTAAAGACGAAAACTGTGCATGACATTTGCAGATGACGGTTAACATCAGTTACATGTAGCAGACGAGGCGTCATACATCTTTAGACTGCGATGCGGTGCAACACTTCCAGGTTTAGTCTGGAGTCTTGTCTCATTGCTTGCTGTGTCTGTTGTGCGAGCAGGAGAAGTCCAGCGGTCGTACTGCTCACTACAAACTCACCTCCACCGTCATGCTGTGGCTCCAGACAACCAAGACCGGCTCCGGCACCATGAACCTGGGCGGCAGTCTTACTAGACAGGTACGTGTTGGACTAGACCACTCCTGACACGTCTGTGGTCATCCATTAACTCAACGTGTTGTCTCATCGTTTCACAGATGGAAAAAGACGAGACAGTTGGAGAGTCCTCACCCCACATCGCCAACATTGGCCGCCTTGTCGAAGTCAGTATATCTGATGTCCTGCGTGTTTGACTGCTTAGCATTAATTCAACTCGCCTGCAATGTAATGTTTCTCAAGAAAAGGTCTCCTACACAGGGTTCTGCAGATCCTCATTGGGATTTAATAGTTGCATACTTTATATTGTATCTCCTGTCTACACCACCATTATTATGTTTAGGCCGGTAATCACACCGCCCTGCAGATGAAGCCGGCCTGTGTAGTCTTAAACTAGTCTTAAACCAACTAGTGTTGGTTTGTATTGTATCGTAATAACAGGTATTTCTAGTAACGGAAATGCATGTCTGTGCAATAGTGCAACACTAATGAAGAAATACCAGTGTCACTGTGCATCATGTTCAGCACATTTCACACACATGAAGTAATTATCGAACAATGTTGTCGTTGATAACCGGAGAATAAACTGAACTTAAAGTTAAGAATGTTTTGATTTGCGTTCCAGGATATGGAGAACAAGATTCGCTCCACACTGAATGAAATCTACTTTGGGAAGACCAAGGACATCGTCAACGGCCTAAGGTAACACTACATGAGCTGCTTCCATGACTTGCCTCCCTCTCTCCTTTTACAGGACTTCCAGTCAGCCGGGTCCGTTGTACCGGTCTTACTGAGAGAAGAGTCCGTTTTCTTCTGCTTCACCGTCTGTTGACCTGTCCAGCAGACATTTTCTTACATCTTTTGTCAATTTCTGTCATTTTAAATTTTTTTGAAACCTACCTTTGCTTCCCCTCTTTTCAGTTGAATTTCTTCTGTATTCGCTTAACCTCCTCCTCCCCATCCCTCTCCTATGATCCTATTTTATTTATTTATTGCCTTCCGCTGCCATTCTTCTCACTGTCTGTCCATCCTCTGTCACCTCTCCTTCCCTGCTGCCTCTCCTCTGTGCTGCAGATCTATTGAGTCTTTGCCCGATAACCAAAAGTACCGGCAGCTCCAGAAGGAGCTGTCGCAGGTCCTCACCCAGCGTCAGATCTTCATTGACTAGGGTCAGAGGTACAACCTGGCATGTGTGTGTTTGTGTGCATTTCAGTGTGTATGAGTAAGTACAAAACCAACACGGGACAATGTTGCTCATTCCTCACTGCTCCGTCCGTGGTGCTCACTCTCTGATGGTGCACAGTACTTTTAAGGAAGGAAGATATTCATTTACTTCAGACACATCTTTGATATTTCCAAAGAAAGCCGCTCACTCAACACACTTTTTAAACTTCTAAAAACACCAAACGCGGTGACCTTCAAACTGAAGTATGGTCTGAACTCTCCTCCTGGTTCTATCCTCGAAAACTGTCTTAGATATTGCTATTGATCACATTTTAAACATAGTTAGATCTTAGGCGCGTGGGGCGTTTTGTACAAGACGGTTGTTTGTTGAGATGTAAATACAGCTTTTATCTACAACAAGCCAACTGTGAACGTAAAGTAGAAGATGATACAAATCAGAAAAGTCTGGTCACAACACGTCACTTTATACAGTTTAATAAAAATGTCTGCTATGGGGACTAACGTCATCACACGTATGTCATCCAAGACTGTTTAGAGACCCCAGTATGCAGAAATATTCAAACACACCTTTTTAAGAATCGCCAAAAATAATACAGTTTTACTGCACGCAAACAACTGCATGGATTTTGCCTCAAACTGCATGGGGTTATTATAAATTGGGCATGTCTAAGGTACCTATAAATCTCATTTTCATTAGATATCTTTAAAGGTGTAAGGTCAAGGGACCCCTCCGAAAATACCATTTCTTTTAACAATCAACACTTGAAATGAAGGCACTTGCAAATGACAAGGTAGTATCAAATGTAAACCATACTTGTTTCATTTTTACCTCTATACTTAAGATTTCATTAAACCTTTTTTTTTTTTTTTTGTCCCTTTGTGGTTTGGGTTACACTCAAACAAGTTGCTCCCCAAAATGTAAACTATTTCCTGGACCAAAATAAAACCATACAACTAAAACAATGTTAAACCAAACATTTAAAATGTTCTATGCGCGTTCAGTTTCCCTCACCGAAGCCGAACTTTGAAGAGTCATTCAGCCTCCTTCCCAACAAGCTAACATGGCTGGTACCAATAGATTCATTAGTTCATTTAGCTTCTAAACTGAGGCTGACAGACGATGTGTCCTCCAGGATCAGATGGTCAGATGTATTTTATGTGCGTGTGAGGGTTCAGGCTCTCGGGTGACTCTTGAGTGTGTATGTGGGACTGTATGCTTTATGAATACATTTTGTTGAACATTGAGCAGCTGTGCAGCCATGTTGTGCATGTTTTGTTTACCTTGTAGTCTAACAGACGAACCTTCTGAGGGAGCGACGCACAAACCATGTCCGAGTTTTCAAAGCAGTCACCACCCCTGATGTTTCGCAGTTTGTTGCCCAAATAAGGTTTCCTTAAACGGTGTGTTGATTGTGAGTGCAGCACTTTGTCCTGTCAGAGGAGTGATAGGACAAAGTGCTCTGACACACTCCTCTGTTTAAAACAATTATTTTCCTCAGAAACGCAGAATTTTCCTTTACCCACAAAATGACTTTTCATATATCAACTACTCACTCCGTGTTACCATGAAGATTTCGATTTTATATTGGCACATAATTCTCAGTTAATTATTCATCTTAAAATAATTAAAGATTAGTGAGTCTTGCTACAAGACCGTGTCGGCAGGTAAAGCACATGATTCAACAGCATGACATCACTAACTGTTGGTTTTTCTTTGCCTGACATGAATGTGTGCCGTGTGTACAGATGTGTGATGATGATGCATATTCCTCACCATCTTCTCTCCACACAGGAGTTGGACTGTGCTGTCTGTCTAACGTTGCTCTTGAACTTACAGTGTTTCTGTCTCGCTGGAGAAACTTTTCCGGTCTCTCTCGCTGTTGTTGTTTCTTATTTTGATGTTGTAGGTGCTGATTGTTTTTCTTCTCTTTTTGTCTTCTCTCACACAGGAGTGTTCAGACTCTGGCTGACAAGTCAAAGCAGGAGGCTCTGAAGGTCGACCTGATGGAGGCACTCAAACGCAAACATACCAGCTAGAGTTGCTACTGTTTTTTGTTTCTTTCTTCCGTCTCTCACTCTCTCTGCCTCATCTCCGCCATCTTTTCTCTGTTTCTTTACTTCTCTCCCTCCACGCCTGTTTCACTGCTGCACTCTTGTTTGTTTGTGAAAAAACTAAAAAGGAGAAAATGCATAGCTTTTTATTTGTTTTTGTTTTTTTTCCGTCTGGTTTTGTTTTCATGCATCTCATCTGCCACGTTCACTCGCGCTCCCTCTGTCTCTCTTCACCCCTCTCTTTTCTCTCCCATGTTATGGATATGATGATAGTATTACCACAGTTAATGATAATCTTACAGTGTGAGGGTCATTGTAGTAATAATCCCACATATTCTCACAGCTGATGTGATTGATTTTTGGCCCAGCTCTTCCTCTTCCTCGAAACGGACACGGTGCTGTAGGTGGCGTAGGCTCGACGGGGCTGTCATTATTATGTACATCAAATTTATTTCAAGCACCTACTTTTGTCTACGACACCACCCTGATATATTTGTATAAAATTATTACTGTCGGTGTATAACTTTCATTCTTATGGTTATTGAACGTGTAACCACGAGGGCGGCCTTCGGTTTGTGTTACAATCTTTTTACTCTTTACTCCACTCTGTCCGCATGCATGTGAGCCTGTGTGGGGCTGCAGTGAGTGGAAATGTGGACTTATCAAACATGGGGGATGGACTGTTATAATCACCGGGTGATTACACCCACAACGTCAACAACCCCCCCCCCCCCCTTACACTGTGTATAACATGACATGCCTCCCCTCTGTTCAGCTTATTCAACTTTTCTCTCTCCTCACCTACTACGTCTTTGTTGGGGGTCACAGTTTGTCATTGTGTCTCAGTGGAAACCTTTCTGTTTCCATTTTTGAGGGGAATCTTTTTGTTGTATTTTTGTTTTGTTTTTATTTTGTAAAGCTTATGATTCATATTGTATTAGAGCCTCCAGCAACAATAAAAACAGTAAAAAGCTCCTTATTTGTTTCTTCATTGTTTGAGGTAAGGCACAGTACAGCTAGTGGACAACTTGACAAACTACATTCCCATTGTACTCACCTTGCTAAGTATTTATAAGCAGAATATTACTATGTAATTATTGTTTATAACCCACTATAAAGTAGCAAAGCCCAGTTATTGTAATAAGTATATTTATAAGATTAGTTATAATTTTTGGTACAATTACTCTTTAAAAGTAACAATGATTTCCACGCGTCCTGGAAAACCTGGGAAAAAGTTGACCAATTTTCAAATCATTGAAAACTAATGTAATTGAAAATCATTTTAACATTCTCCTTTTTTCCTTCAGCTGAAAAAAAAACTGCGAGGCTATCGGAGCTCCCAAAAACGGATCACATTGGCATCTTAAAATGTAAATAGTTTGCTGGTGAGAGTACTTTGATCAGACTGTTGTTGAAACACCCACGTCACGTCACGTAGCAGCAATGTTGGTGTTGAGTTGGTTAGCATGTTCGGTTGTTAACTTTTCGTGCTGGTTTTGCCTGCAATGGTTTCAGGTTTGTGATTCATCTCTGGATAGGTGCAATCAGGTTTTAAATGTGTGTTGGGATTGTTAAGAGAGATGGATGGTGAATGGGAAGCTGGGCAATAAAGTCTGGCGTGATGAACTGAAAAGAGACGGTGGCAGGTGATACCAAACTAGACACTAACTTTAAATCTTACATTTAGGTAATGTTGTGTGAAGTTTAGTCTACTTTTGTCAGTAGGCAAACAGTATGCTACTATTTTTGATATTGGTGTCCAGTAGGGGTGCAACGGATCACAAACCGCACGGTTCGGTTCGGATCACGGTTCTTGAGTCACGGTTTGGATCAGCAAGGGGAGGAGACAAGTATAACTTTGCTAACCATTTATTAATTAAAGAACTTCAAGAAACACTTAAAGCAAAGAACTTTGGGCTATAGTCTTACATGAAAACAAAAATATTGAAGATGTCCAATTTGAAATGAAATTAATAAATAAAAAACATTCAAGAATACTCAATTCTGTTTAAGTGCAACATGAGGTTTGTTGATACCCTCGTCCTTTGATCAATATTGAAAGAAAACAGCCAATGTCTACAGCATCAAAAAAGCCTAACACGCTCCATTCACGTGAACACACTACTGCTTTATATATCTGTCCACTGACACTGCATTGATATTCAGGGACTTGTTACTTGAAAAGGAGCAGCAGCAGTAAAACTTTATTACACACTATAATGATTAAACTGTAAAAAAAAAAATCAATTAATCTGCGGTTCACAAGTGTGCCGAACCGTGAGGTGTGATCCGAACCGTGAGGTGTGATCCGAACCGATCACGGATCGATCCGTGATCCGTTACACCACTACCGTTAACGTTATATTGCAGCAGCAAGCTGCCGGTAACGTTAACATTATATTCAGTGGTGGGCCGTCAGGGCCTGCAAGGCCTTCTCTGCTGGCCTAAACAGAATCACAAAGTTAGAGCTATTTTATAATTTGATAATTTTTCTTAAATACACTACATGTATTATAATTTATAAAAATATTTTTCCCATTATCTTATTTTCTCATTGCACAGCTACTGTCTTCCTCAGTTGCTCTGCTTCCAGTGCAGCTTGTTTTAAGGAGAGCTTTTATCCAATCAGATCTCACCTCTGTGTCTCTAGGTAAGAACAGAGGCCCGAGGCCTGCAGACTCACAAGTGCATCCATGTGCAGTTTAAGTGAATGGGGACGATATTGTTGATTGTCATAGTCTTCAACCAATCGGATCTTTAGTTTGACATGTTGGGCGTATTCTTTGAAGTGCCAGAGCCTGCTAGCTGGCCTACAGCTACATCTGCATTAACACACAGCTCAGCTTCCAGGTGCAGCGCTGCAGTGAGGTGCAGCGTGTGCTGTGATTGGTCAGTGGGCGAGCACGTGACTATTGGAAAACGAAACCTAAGCAGAGGCTTAGTCGGACTAGTAAGAGTTCAAATTGAAAGATATGGAAGAAATTATGACATTTTTTGCATTTTTCTTGGTGTAGATTATTATTATTTTTTACCTAGCTTTGTTTTTTTTTAACTCAATGGCTGAATAAGGAGGAGAAACAGATTTGTGAGTTGGGATTTAACTGGGATGAAACTCTTTGCCAACAAAGAAAGGAGCAAGGAGTTTGTCTTTACAGTATTTGGTAAGTCAACTGCATTTGTTTTTTTTACATCTAATATCTGAATGGCCCGTGCCCTTGAGTGTGTAGCAGAATGCGTGTTGCTGTTGTTTTCCCGCTAAGCTAGTTAGCGTAGCCTCCCAGAACACTTGCGGAGCTGTTTTTTTGTTTTTTTTGTTCCGGTTCAGAGGTCACACAGACCGTCGTCTCCTACATGAGCGCAGAAAACATTATATTTCCTACAATTTAAGCTTCTGCATTTTCCAAATGCACTAGTATTATTCAAACGTATTGTTCGGTTTGTAAGCCTCGTACCGAACGGTTTAATACGAATACGTATATAGTTACAGCCCTAGAAACGAATAATAACCGTATAGCTGTGGCGCCATCATGAGGTTATAAGGTAGTATTTCAGCTGCAGGACAGCAGTGAAGGCCCAGGTATAAAATGCACAGCCCGCCACTGCTTTTGAGACAAATGTTTAAAAGTTTAACATTAAATATGAGAGAAAGGTATTATACAGCAATTTAAATGTTTCATATTAGTTTAATTTGACAAGTCTTTTGTCAGCCAGCTGTTTATAAGCAGTAAAAGAAAACTTAAGAGAATTAGGCTTTTGATGGCTTCATGTTTGTCTATAACTCTTCCTCTGAGGAGACAAGAAATATTTAACAACTAAAGAAATGAAATGTTTTCAAACGTGGAGCAGGTTTTAACCGAGGCTCTGTTTGTAAATGAGGAAACAAAGTTCACATTCACAGCGCTGCTCCTCTTCCTGGAATGAACCACAGCTTGATAACCACTCCTTCTTCCTCCTGCTCTCAAACACAGCCGCTCCACCCTGTGCACATATTTCCTTGTTCCCTCCCCTTCAGATCTACAGTTTTAACGATCGGTGTAACCAACATGGTGGTGAAGCGATAGAGCTGACAGGCTCCATTCACTGAACAAACACATGTTGTTCAGATCAGAAGTCAAAGCAGAGTCGCTTCTAGTGAAGTGAAACTCAGACAGTCGTCGTTACTGAGAGGTGAAATGGCGCAGAAAGGAGTTCAGCTGGATCGGGAAACCTTCTTTTGTTCCATCTGTCTGGATCTACTGAAGGATCCGGTGACTACTCCCTGTGGACACAGCTACTGCATGAACTGTATTGAAAGCTTCTGGGATGAAGAGGATGTGAAGAAACGCCACAGCTGTCCTCAGTGTAGGCAGACCTTCACACCGAGGCCTGTCCTGCTGAAAAACACCATGTTAGCAGTTTTAGTGGATGAGCTGAAGAAGACTGGACTCCAAGCTGCTCCTGCTGATCACTGCTATGCTGGACCTGAAGATGTGTCCTGTGATTTCTGCACTGGAAGGAAACGGAAAGCCATCAAGTCCTGTCTCGTCTGTCTGGCCTCTTATTGTGAGAAACACCTCCAGCCTCATTATGAAGCCCCTGTCTTTGAGAAACACAAGCTAGTGGACCCCTCCAAGAAGCTCCAGGAGAACATCTGCTCTCGTCACGATGAGGTGATGAAGATGTTCTGCCGTACTGATCAGCAGTGTATCTGTTATCTCTGCTCTGTGGAGGAACACAAAGGCCACGACACAGTCTCAGCTGCAGCAGAAAGGACTGAGAGGCAGAGAGAGCTGGAGGTGAGGCGACTAAACATCCAGCAGAGAATCCAGGACAGAGAGAAAGACGTGAAGCTGCTTCAACAGGAGGTGGAGGCCGTCAATCGCTCCGCCGACAAAGCGGTGAAGGACAGCGAGAAGATCTTCACTGAGCTGATCCGTCTCATGGAGAAAAGAAGCTCCGATGTAAAGCAGCAGGTCAGATCCCAGCAGAAAAGTGAAGTGAGTCGAGTCAAAGAGCTTCAGGAGAAGCTGGAGCAGGAGATCTCTGAGCTGAAGAGGAACGACGCTGAGCTGAAGCTGCTCTCACACACAGAGGATCACAACCAGTTTCTACACAACTACCCCTCACTGTCACCACTCAGAGAATCTACAGACTCGTCCGGCATCGATATCCGTCCTCTGAGCTACTTTGAGGGCGTGACGGCGGCTGTGTCAGAAGTCAGAGATAAACTACAGGACGTTCTGAGAGAGAAGTGGACAAACGTCTCACTGGCAGTGACTGAAGTGGACGTTTTACTGTCACCTTCACAAGCAGAGCCCAAGACCAGAGCTGAGTTCTTAAGATATTCAAGTGAAATCACACTGGATCCAAACACAGCATACACACTGCTGTTATTATCTGAGGGGAACAGAAAAGCAACATTAATGAGAGAACAACAGTCTTATTCTAGTCACCCAGACAGATTCACTTCATGTTATCAGGTCCTGAGTAGAGAGAGTCTGACTGGACGTTGTTACTGGGAGGTGGAGTGGAGAGGAGAAAGAGTTTATGTAGCAGTCGCATACAAGAATATCAGCAGAACAGGGAGCTCTCATGAATGTAAATTTGGATTGAATGACAAATCTTGGATGTTACTATGTGTCAAAAACATTTTTACATTTTGGTACAACAAGATCCAAACTCCCGTCTCTGGTCCTCAGTCCTCCAGAGTAGGAGTGTACCTGGATCACAGAGCAGGTATTCTGTCTTTCTACAGCGTCTCTGAAACCATGACTCTCCTCCACAGAGTCCAGACCACATTCACTCAGCCTCTCTATGCTGGACTCAGGTTTTGTATGTTTGGTTATGACGACACTGCTGAGTTCTGTAAACTCAAATAGTTAGAAGTGATTTAAGGAACAGCAAATTAATTTTTGTGCTTTAATCCTGAAACTCATTTTGTCTCCATCATTGTCGCTTAATTGCTCATTTTTCTTCAGCTGTCAATCAAATATTGTGGGCGGTACTTTGACATCTTCTCATTATTGTTGTGTAAATGTTTGAGTGTCTTTAGGTGGAGCTCCTTTCTGTGTCTGTTTAGCCATGGAGGCTATCACTGCTCATGATGATCTTTGTTGACCTGAACTGATATTTCTCTCCATGAAAATGTAAACTGCTCTGAGGTTTAAATGTTTGATAAATATATGTATTGATGTATTTGTTAGTTGTTGTTTCTCTTCCACTGCATGGCTCTTAAAGAGAGAAATCACCAGAGCTTCTTTTATCAAAGAGATTTAGTTCTCAGCACTCTTTGTAAAGATTTCTTTAAGTGAAATTATGTTTATTTTCTATAACAGATTAAATGTTGTTCTTGTTGTTTTCTTAATCGTTGTACAAAAGAGGTACTATGATGTATTATATAACTAATTATTATAATCATAATCAATATGTAAATCATTCATGATTCTCTTTTACATAACTGAGATTCTGGTCAAACAAATAGATTATGAGGATGAAGTGAACGTGTTCATGAAATCATTGAACAAGAGTCATTGAACAGACTTTACTGATGGGATGTGAACAAACTGAAGGTTTACATGATGAATAAAGTATTTCTTGATTCAAGAATGAACAAAGTCTTTTCTTCTTGTCTTATTTACAGGGTTTCATACAAAGCTGATGGAGAAGATGTGAAACTAATATGAGAGTATAACTGAGTCAGTTTTCCTCCTGAAACACCACAAAGTACAGAGTTCATGTTCAGAGCAGAAGAACATTAGTCAGTCAGTCTCTGTCCTTTAAACTGTCCTCACTAAAACATCTGTGTCACAGAGAAATGAGCAGAGTTTTATATCACGTGTCGCTTCTTACAACCAACATTTAGTTTTTTTTGAATTCAGTAAAAGCTAAGGTCTCAGAAACATTTAGTATTTCTCTGTCACTTACCTGTATCGTGCTGTCATTAGGTCCTTCACTGGGATGTGTGGTTATTATATTTCTGCTAAGCCCAACATTGTGAGCAGAGTGCGCTCCAGGCAGTATACTGAGCATCAGCAGCTAACGTAAGTAGAGCAGAAGAAAGCCGTCAGTACCTGATGAGCGAAGTGTCATCAGAACAGAGAGCTCTTCTCACCTGACCTCATGTATTTTCATATATTTGTCCAGGCAGCAATGCTTATTGTAACTGATAAGAAAGTGATTGATGGCCGGTCTACCAGCTGGATCATCACTGGAAATATTGAGAACAGAGTTGAAGAATAGCCTCATTCATTCATGCAACACAATGTCAACATGGAAATACTAGAGCAGGGGTGCCCACACTTTTTCGACTTGCGAGCTACTTTTAAAATGTCCAAGTCAAAATGAACTACCTACATTAAAAATGCTGAATACCTGAGGACCTGCTGGAGACTGAGCGTCACGTTCAGCCTAAAACTACCACCGAGGAGGAGATGGAGGTATTTAACTATTATCCACCAAATAATTCAGTTCAGGACAGTTTTAAGGTCTTAAATCCATCAATTGCCTAATTCCCAAACTCAGGTGCAGGTGAGATTTGGGTGTGGCTATAATTACCACAGTACACGGGATGCAACATATTAGCATTTGAATATGGATTTGCAAACATAGACAGCTTAACAAAGTTAAAAGGATCATTTGTGGAGTTACTTGCAACAGCTTAAACTTTTGTTGTGACATGTTGCATGTATGATTTAAAATATCTGCGAAGCAATAGACAAAATTATTTTTTTTAATATACAGTGTTGTATCATTACTGCTAATGGGTCATAATGTGTGGAGTTTTGTGAAAACTGTGCCATGGAAAACATGATGAACGCTGGACTGGAAAATAGTGAATTCATAAAAGGAGACATTATCTGCCCTTGAGAATAGAACAGAATAGAATAGAATGCTGGATGGAACGGGAACACAGCAGAGTTCTCCAATAAATTACAATGTTGAGGTGTCATGTTGTGGATGAAGCCAGATGCTCCACAGAGGACAGCTGGACAGCTCTGAGGTAAGCCACAGGCAAAACCACTCCTCAAAATTTCTAGTAAAGTATTTTATTTTATTTTATTGGTCAGGCTTCCTGGGGGGCTCCCTGTTGACGTGAAGGTCTATCATCTGGCAAATTGGCAGATGAATTTGCAAGCTTTTCAACCTCACTTCAGGCTTCCGGTGTGTCCGATGTAGGCTGCTGTGGTAAGATACTGGCACCAAACTCCTGTCGTGTAAACCAGTAGCATATCTGACCTGTAACTTTGGATTCAGAATAGACTTTGCCTGCTACCACTTTTCATAATTTGGCTCAGGATGTTTGGTACCACCATGATGATTTAAGGATTACCAAATCCCTCGAATATCAAATTGTTAACATTAGTTATTTACTGAGAGTCAAGTACAGTACAACTTAGATAGCTTTGCTTATAGGAGGGATATTTTGAAATATAGTATTTATAATCATACAGTTGTAAAATAATTAACTAACTATGTAAGATGTTGGGATTTACTCTAACCTCCGACATTAGGACAGTGTTTTTATGCTCTCATGCTCTCACAGGCTTCTATGGATCATTGTTATATCTGGACGCTGGTCGTGCCTCTAACGTAGTTGTGACATATGCAAGAGTAATATCCCTGGTTGCCCTGATCGTGACAGTGAGCGTGAACTGTCGGGGAGAGGCAGTCACGTATCTCCTGAGTGAGAGTCCTCCACGGTGACATGTCGCTGTGTTGGGCTGTTGTTTCAATAGTATCAAAAAAGGGGATGGCCAGTCTTCAAATCATATGCCAACATGCGTTAGGGTACTTCTGGTGTCCGATGTAGGATGATGGGGTAATATACTCTCACCAAACTCCTGTCGTGTAAACCAGTAGCATATCTGACCTGTAACATTGGATTCAGAATGGATTTTGTCCGTTAGCACTTTTCGTAATTTAGCTTAGTATGTTTGGTGCCACTATAATAATTTAAGGATTACCAAATCCCTCCTTGAATGTCAAATTGTTAGCATTGATTATTTACTGAGAGTTAAGTACAGTACAACTTAGAGAGCTTTGCTTAGAGGAGTGATATTTTGAAATATAGTATTTATAATCATACAGTTGTAAATGAATTAACTATGTAAAGTTTGGGGATTTACTCTAACTTCCTACATTACGAAAGACTTGTTATGCTCTCATTCACTCACTCATCTCTCTGGCTCTCGCTCTCTGGCTCCTACTCTATCAGTTGACAGTGGGCGATTTCGCCACGGCCTCCCTCAGCCAATCATATATTTCCCGTCAAACTTTAAAGACCTGTTCTCTTCTGTGCAGTCAGCTGTCATTTCAGTACAAACAGATGTGACCCTCCTCCCCATTCATCATCACATCCGGTGCTCAAGGTTTCTTCCACTGAGGGCAGTCCCACTCAAACATGCCATCATCTAGATCTTCAGCCTGCCCCTACTGTCTTCAACACCCCCACCAGTGTCGACTCTCCAAAATTTTTACTTTACTTTGAACAATTTAATAAATGTATTTGTTCACTGTAAATTAAGTTTCTCCTGATTTAACAACCTGTCTCCCTGTATAAGTCTGTCAATTATCTCCCGGTGGCTTCAGTTCTCCTATTTATTATGTTTTTTGTGATGTATGTCATGTTATTTCAAACTAATTTGCAATCATAAGTGTGGTATTTGTTGGTGAAATGTTTCTTGTATAGAAAGAACAATTACTTGTCGTAAAACTCCAAAAATATAGTAGAGTAAAATCTTTTAGGTGTGTTTTCTAGAAACTACAGGTCTGATGAGGAAAGTGGGAACAGGTGTGTAGGTGGGAGGGGATGTCATGTGACCAGGACTGGCAGGTCTGGGGAGTGGGCAGGGGCTGGAGAGAAGGACAGAGAGCCAGGACGGGCAAAACCACCAAACCACTACAAAGTCTCTGCCCTCCCTCGAACTTCTCAGACAGTTCCAGGGGTGCCCACACTTTTTCAGCTTGCGAGCTACTTTTAAAATGACCAAGTCAAAATGATCTACCTACATTAAAAATGCTGAATATCTATTTATTTATATATATATATACACATATACTTTATATTTACAATATATGTTGGCGTACCTTGCATAACTGCATGAACCCTTATGGCACAATACAATTCTGTACATTTTTGGTCATTACCTTACTCTGATGACTTGCACTGAATGGAATTGGCCAGAGTTGCATAGTCCGGACAGTAGCTGCTAGTAGCCCGCCTCAAGCAGACTTCAAATGATCATCAGTCATGGTGTTTGGACTTAATGTTCTTCATGTGGGAAAAGGCTGACTCACATAAATGAGTAGAGCCGAATAATGCAGTCAAAAAGGGATCACATTTCCTCATGTTTGGGTACTTTTCCTCTGTGAGAAAACTGTCCATGAGCCATGGACTTCAGCTGAATGTCAGCTTGCAGTGTCAAAATCTCATCCTCCACTCCAGACGAGTTCAGGTGAAACAGCGTTGCAATTTTTGATGCGAGTAAATCAACCTCAATATCTTCCCGAAATGTGCAGCACATAAGTGTAGCAACTGGCTCGAGTAAAGCAAAGTCTCGAAAGCGTTTGTCAAACTCTGACAGACACTTCTCAATCTGCTCTGTGTAGCGCGCACTGTCGAGTTACGCACACGCCTTCCGTTGAGTCTCCAGTTCTGACGCGAGGTTTTGGAAGTTTTCCAAATCATGGCGCTGCAGCTTTAGCTTCTTTAGTAGAAATAAATTGGAAGGCTAACTAATTAGCTCGCCGGAGTTTTGCAATAGCTCGCGCGGTTAACCGCGCATACGCGGTGACCTGTGTGTTAGAAAATCAAGTGGGAAATGCCATGTGGACATCTAATTTTTTTTGAATGGCATGCGATCTACCCGCACTACTCTACCCGTATTGGGCACCCCTGAGAGACGATGAAAAGCACGAATAATGACTCAAACTGCGTGACTGCCGTTTGTCCACCAGGTGTCAGTGACGTTCAGCACATCAGCCAAGCTCCAAGTTTCACGGTCTTTATCAAAGATTTCACTTGTCTGTATTCAATCTAAATGCAGTTATATGTTTTATTCCATATGTATCTTACTCTAACAGAGTTGATCGTATAATGTTTACAGCTCCCGTTTTTAAAACGGAAAAGTGATCTGAAAACAACTGATGAACTCAAAATAGTAGAAATTCGTGGACTAAGTGTAAATTGTCCTTTTTTCGAAGGTTTCTGAACGCTGGTCATCTGGTGAAAGAACAACCTGCCTCTCATTATGCTGGGTTAAAGCGCTACCCACCTACCATTTGAGGAATGTCTGCCAGTTAATGAGTAAACCCTTTGTGAGAGGTGGTGGCTAAAGTATATGTGAACATCTTGTTACCGATGAAATCATATTGGTTTGGGGTTGTTATGTGCTACCACAGAGCTCTCTCTTGGCCATTCAAAGTGTTGTATTTTCTTAGACTATTAAAAACTTAAATAATGTAAAGATAACACTGGCAGTACATACAGCTAAATTATTCAAACGTGGCAAGCAATAACATATTTACATACAATGATGTCAAGTGAACTATATGAAAGTCTTGTTTTTGTTGTTTTCGGTTCATGATTGAAGCTTTTAGGAAGTTACCATTTATC